TGAAAATTAAATAGCAAGAGACCTTGTCTCAAAACAAAACTAAACAAAAACATTAAAGAGGAGTGTGTTCTCATGCCAACAGTTATCTGCTGCCCAGGTCTGCATCGCTTATTTCCATCCTCACAGCCTCCTGCTGACCGGTCTCCTGTCCCTCCCCAGTCTCTCTTTTGCACTGGGAAATCAGACACCGTGGACTGCTTAATGAAAGCAGCTGTTAGTGTTTTGTCACGAGGAGACAGCTATCCTGTAAAAAGGTACAACAGCAGTCCAGGGCAGCATAGCATGAAGACTGAGAGCAGCACGTGAAACAGGAGCGTGCACTGGGGACTGTGGCTCCGTAAGCTGTACACTCCAGCACACTCACCCCTTGCCCTCACTCTGATTCTCTTTGACTGGCTTCTTGCCATGTTTTTCTTTGTTTCGTAAATAATCTTTCAGCTTCTCTGCTCGGTCTAGGTACTGCATGCACTTTGCTCGAATGCTCTCCTTGGCCTTGTCGCTGTGTGCTTCATCTGCAAAAAAGAAACCATGTGGCCCCCATCAGCCCCATGTGCCTGCCCTCCTCTTCCAGGGCACTGCAGCCAGGGGCCTCTGAGAGTGACTCACATTTGATGGCATGGAGGAAATACTCCACAGCATGCTGGTAGAGCCGGAGCGCCTCCTCGTAGTTCTTGGCTTTGTCCTCTTCTGTGGCTTTCGTCACCAGATCGATGGCTTTCTGGAAAGGCAAGGTATATAGCTCAGTATTCCCCACAGTATCTAGAGAGTCTTTGGGGTCACAAGCCACAGAATAAGATGAGAGTTAGTGCCAGGCCTGTGGATTTATGGGTTGAAGGCCACTACGTCGCCCTACTTTCCTGACACCAACTGGAAGGGATTGAAAAGACAGCCGTTATTCCCAGGGAGCTTCATGGCCAGAAGCCACCCCTTTCTTCCTCCATTCTGTTCTGGAGCTTAGCAAATAGAAACCAACTCATGTCTGGGGTTGGGGTTCCAAGGGCAAGCCCAAGGAGCAAGTATACTTTCTACTTCACTGTCCCAAGGGAAAGACGGACTAGTTCTTGTAGCTCAACAAAGCCAGAAACCACACTTGGCCCAAGGGCCAAAAAGATGCAGCCAGCTAACAAAGTCCTCCATGGACCTGACAGTTTCAATCTAATAGAAAATTTAGAGACACTTTAGCCCTCTCTACTCCCCAGATCACTCTAGGTTCAGAAGAGAGCTTTCCTGAACACCTGAGTGGGGAGGCTTAGCACATTACAAACCAGGAGCTCCAGGAACAAATGTGCTTTCTAAGAACTCTGAGTGATGTCTTTGAGAGTCTTAAAAGGCTCTGCAGGCCCATGCTCCCAGCTGAACTGGAGGCTCTAGACACCCAGTTTCAAAACCTGAAGTTCCCTCAGTTGGCAAAGCCTGGCCACAATCCTCCTCCATCTGGTGTGGCACTAGCCGCCTGGCAGGCAGATCCCACTGCAGACCCTGCTTCAGCCCAACAAACAATATCCTCCTGACCCGCTCTTGGCCAGGCCAGGGCATTTGTTCGGCCATCCTGATCTGGAAGGAAAGCACATAGACATCTCTGTAAGGTGGCTAGGCTGGGGAGAGGAAACAGGCTACAGGAGAGGAACTCACTAGAACAAGGAGACAGGAAGGGTGAGCGTGTGGGTGACTGTCATGTTGGACCCCACTGCCTACACACTGTATGGCCAGCACTGCAGTCTTGTTTCCCCAGCAGCTCCTTAGAAACCATGGAGACAGTACCTTGTCCTAGCGACTTCTTTCCTCTATGCTCAACACCCTCAATTCTTTGGACTTTTCCACTCAGTATGACTTGAGATGGCTCAGTGGGTAAAATCACCAGCTGTGAAAACCTGGAGCCCAGTGTTCAATTCCTATAAGCCATGGATGAAGGAGACACCTAATTCCTAAGGAGACCCCACACTCAAGGAGAAGCTACTACTCCTGAAAGTTGTCCTCTGACTTTCAGACAGAAAAATAAATAATGTATAAAATTAAAATAAAAATAATGTAAGAAAGATAACTCTGCAGTTATGAGCATTTGTTGCTACTGGAGAGAACTCTGGTTTGAGTCCCAGCGCCTGCATGATAGTGCGTAACTATGGGATCAGATGTCCTCTTCTGGCCTCCCAAGGCAACAGGCATTTAAGTGGTGCAAGGACATGCATTCAGCCAAAACAACCTACACAAAATAAAACAAAATAAATAATCTGGGCTGGGCGTTGGTGGCGCACGCCTTTAATCCCAGCACTTGGGAGGCAGAGGCAGGCGGATCTCTGTGAGTTCGAGGCCAGCCTGGTCTACAAGAGCTAGTTCCAGGACAGCCTCCAAAGCCACAGAGAAACCCTGTCTCGAAAAACCAAAAATAAATAAATAAATAAATAAATAAATAATCTGGAAAGATGGCTCAGGTTTAAAGACACTTGATGCTCTTTTGTTGTTTTGTTTTGAGACAGGGTCTCTAGTTGGCTCTGACTAGCCTGGAACTCTGTAAATGAGCTAGACCTATGCTTCCAGAGAGGTGCTAAGATAAAGGTGTATGCCACCAAGCCTGCCTGCACTTGCTGCTTTGCAAAGGACCTACATTTGTTCCTCGCACCCATGTGGTGCTGTAACTCCAGTTCTGGACAGTAAGGGCACCGGGCATGCAACAAGGTACATATATACATGCAGGCAAAACACATGCATAAAAACAAAAAAAAAAGTGACGGCTAAGAACAATAGCTGAGGTTCCTCTGTCCCCACAGAGCAGAGCAGGCCTGTCTCATCTCTGCTAAACACTATTAGGGCACCTACTGGTGCATTACATCTTTCTGGCAGCTAATGCAGGAGATCTTCGTTTGCATAACAGGAGGGTGTGGTGACAAATTAAAGGCCAGCCCGGCCACATCTCTATAACACCACGGCAAAGGGCAGAGATGGAGGAGTAACAAGGATGTGCTAGCAGGGCCTGACAGACTTCTCTATGAAAGCCCAGTCAGAGGTGTGTTAGGGTTTGGGGCCATATAGTCTCTGCAGCACAAAAGCAGCCATAGGTAGCATATAAAAGAATGAGCTGGGATGTCATCCAATAAAACTTTATTTATAGGCACCAAAATCTGACTTTCAAATTATGTCCTGAAAGCGCTCCCTTCAAACCATTTAAACAATGTAAAAGATTGTGACATTAAGCCAGCCAAGTCAGTCACAGAGAACCACACATTGGATAATTTTAAAGAAAATCTCAGTTGGTTGGTGGCACACACCTTTAACCCCAGCACTTGTGAGGCACAGGCAGGCAGATCTCTGAATTCAACAAGGTGAGTTCCAAGTCAGCCAGGGCTACACAGAGAAATCTTGCCTCAAAACACCAACAAACAAAACACAAAAATCCCTGAGTCAGCAAGATGGCTCAGCAGGTAAAGGTACATGCCTGATTTCAGGACAAAGACAGATCAAGTGAGAGTTGGGTGTGGTGTTACACAATTTAAGCCCAGGTCTGGGAAGACAGAATCAGGTAGGTATTTGTGAGTTTGAAGTCAGCCTAGTCCGCAGAGCCAAGTTCCAGCCAGGGCTACATACTGAGACCCTGTCTCAAATAAAGTAAAATAGAAACCAGGCTGAACTGACCTCCCGACTGGCTTTCATAGAAAAGGTGTCAACAGTATCAACCGCGCTTGCCACGAGAATACTGACTTGCCCCTGTGCTCCCTGGTGCAGCAGGGGCACAGACGTTATGGGTACTCAACCATGCAGGCCCAGATCCCAGGCCTGCTCTGTAGGAATTCAGGCCTGGGACTGGAAGTCTGGTCAGAAGCACGTGGCTCAGGAATCACAGGCGGGGGAAGAACTTCCTGCTGATGTCTTGTTATAAAGGAGATTCCAGAAAAACAGACAAAACTGCTTGCTACCAGGCCTGCCAATGTGAGTTCATTAACCAGAAAGAGAGAACTGACCCCTGAAGTTATCCTCTGGCCTCCCCTAGGAATGGGAATGAGTGTGCTGGCACACTAGTACGCATTCACACACCACAGACTCACACAATAACATAAATAAGGTGTCTGAAACAGGCAACCCCGCAGACAAGTGTGCTTCATGGGACGGAATAGCAGGGGAGCAATGGCTAACAGCATAGTTTCTGTGGTGATGAAACTAACCTCCAAAAGCACCGATAGGCTATAAATGTATAGCACCGTGCTTTACCTACATACATAAAACTGTTTTGGGGCTCGAGAGATGGTTCAGTGGTTAAGAGCACTGAAGCCTCTTCCAGAGGACTTGGGTTCAATTCTCAGCATCCACAAGGTGGTTTACAGCTGTCTGTAACTCCAGTTCTAGGGGACCCGGCATCCTCACACAGACATACATGAAGGCAATCAATGCACACAAAACATAAAAATAAATTATTTAAAAAACCTGTTTCAAGACGGGCATTGGTGGTGCACGCCTTTAATCCCAGCACTCGGGAGGCAGAGGCAGGCGTATCTCTATGAGTTCCAGGATAGCCTCCAAAACAATACAGGGAAACCCTGTCTCAAAAAATAAAACAAAAAACAAAACAAACAAAAAACCTGTTTCAAAATGCCAGAAAAAAACATTCTCTCTTTTGTGAGACAGGGTTTCTGTTTAATGCAGACTGGTCTCAAACTCACAGAGATCCACCTGCCTCATGAGTGCTGGGATTAAAGGTGTGCGCCACCAACGCCCGGCACTAAAAACATTCTTGGTTCACAGGCAGTGAAACACTGGCTAGGCAGGTGGGATCCAGCTAAAGTTGGCTTAATCCATAGCATATAAACATAAGAATTCTGCCGGTGGACAGTGGGCTCTTGAACTCCAATTGATTCCCACTCCTGTATTTCCATGTGGAGCAGCCATTCCTCGCCCTCCTCCCCAACAGGTATGTGAAAGTCACCCACTCTCGATGCTCTGACTAAAGTCCCTTCCTTCATGAAGTCTTACTTGGTTCTGCCCAAGCGCTGACTTTATTTGCAAAGGCTTACCGAGCACATGATGTGCTGAACCTACATTACAAATGCTTCCTCTGAATTATTCAGAGCCATCTAACAACCACCTCACAAGGGCACTGCCCATCTTACTGATGAGGAAATCCAAGATTCCAAGATCAAAAACCTAGGCACGCTAGTGAGTGGCAGGGCTGGATTTAAACACAAGCCTGAGGCCTGAACGTGTTTACGCTTTCTGACAGCTCTAGAGCGAGCACTTCCTTCATTCGGGCGGCGCCATCCCACGGTCGCTCTGCTCCATCTAGGGGATGAATGAAGGATGGATGGGCGAGAAAGCGGGGGCTCGTTGGCACAAGGTCAGGGGGCAGCCAGGGCGCGTTGCAGGAACCAGTGAGCGGCGTTCCCGGAGCGACCTGCGGGACCCGGGCTCGCTCTGGGGGAGGCGGCACCGCTGCAAGGCGGCAGTTCAGCCCTGGCTGCGAGTAGCGGGCTCGGGACTACGCCGGTTCGGCCTGGGCCGGGGCTCGGTGGAGACATCCCCTGGACTCCGAGCATGGGAGAGGCTGCAGCACCGGTGGGACGAGGCGGTCCTATCGGGACTGCAAGGCCGGGCTCCGAGGAGGCCGCAGCCTGCCGGCTCAGCGGCCCGCAGGCCCTGCAGCCTTCGGTTTCCGCGGTCGTGCCGCACCCAGGTACCTGGAGGGTTGACGTTGTCATTTCATCTCCTGGGTTCGCCCCACACCCCGCGGCGCTGCTTGCGGCCTCGGTCCGACCCGGAGGAGCCGAGGTGGTGGGTCCGGCGCTATTCCGGAGGGCCGGCGTTCGGTACGGGCAGGACTACGACTAGCAGCGGGGGCCCAGTCTGAGGGTGAGCGAGAAGCACGGCCCAGAGCGGCCCAGCCCGAGCCACGCGGCTACCACCCAGCGGCCATGACCCGGAACTGCAGGCATCTCTCCTCCAAGGGGCGGTGTTGGGGGCGGGGCCTGTAATACCTGGGTGGGATCCCGATGAGGCACCAGGAGGAAGCGAGGGGTGGGGGCGCCTGCGTGAGGGGTGGGGCCGAAAGGGGGCGTGACCTGGCGAAATCCTGATGAGAGGCAGGGCTTGGAATCTGAGGAGCCGGGGCCGGACGAGGGCCACGCTGGGAGTATTTGGGCGAGTGCTGCGCTTCCAAGGTTCAGAGTAGGGCAGAACGGGCAGGGCGGGGCTTTGAGGACGGGGGTGGGCAGGCACCAAGTACCATCAGGACCCCACTTGAGTTAATATCACCAGAAAAGTAAATCTAACTTCCTGGAACTGTGTTTTCTGGCTATTTAATAGGTTATGATAATTAGTATTTACCTCGTTTTTTTGTTTTTTGTTTTTATTTTTCGAGACAGGGTTTCTCTGGCTTTGGAGGCTGCCTTGGAACTAGCTCTGTAGACCAGGCTGGTCTAGAACTCACAGAGATCCGCCTGCCTCTGCCTCCTGAGAGCTAGGATTAAAGGCGTGCGCCACCAACGCCCGGCAGTATTTACCTCGTGACTTCGCCAGTTTTGTCATAGTTTTTATTTTTATTTATTGTTTTTCGAGACAGGATTTCCCTGCATAGTCAGAGTCATCTGGAAGAGTCCAGAACAGGGAGGGAAAGCAGAGGACTGAACATGGCCAGCAGATTGGACAGGTCCATGAGAGGAGGTGTGGGGTGGAACAAGAGAGGAGGACCAACAGAGAGAACAGAGAAAGTCAAGAGAGCGCATGGCTGAAATGGCAGGGTTATATGGGAATGAGAAGCCGGGGGAAGGGAAGCCTGGGAGATGGCACACCTTTAATCCCAGCACTTGGGAAGCAGGGCAGGTGGATTTCTGTGAGTTTGAGGTCAGTCCCTTCTACAAAGCAAGTTCCAGGACAGCCAGCACGGTTACACAGAGAAACCCTGCCTTGAAGCAAAACACAACAAAAGTCCAGTAGAGCTGTCAGCACTTTGGGGTGACAGAGGCAGTGGACACAGCTTCCCGCTGTTACCCTCAGCAGCCTTAAGGGGTATCCTATACTTTTGTTCCTCTTGATACATACCAAACTGGAATATAATATAACATCAAGTAAAAAAGAATTTTAGGGCTAGTCAGTTTCTGAAACAAAGTTGGGGCTCAATAAAGATATACATGTATTTTAACATATTTATTTTTGGAGGGATGGAGGGAGTTCAGGGAGAACTGACTGGAATTGGAGGGCATGAGGGGGCAATGTGAAAGCCTAGTGCAGTAGAATCATTCTACAAGGGTGACTATATCAAAGATTCCTAGTCAGATACAGAGCCTGAACTGCCATCCTCTGTAACCAGGTAATTTCCAGTGGTGGGACTTACACCAACCCAGACACAAAACCGTAGACCTGCCATCTGTTCTGCCTGCAAGACGTGCTGGGGTAAAGAAGGCACAAAACTCTGGGAGTGGCCAACCAATGATAGGTCTAATTTGAGGCCATGCCACTAGAGGCGCTGCCTGGATGGCCAGGAACCAGAGGCTGGATAGCCCAGAGACCCAGGATAGAAAAGAAATCAATAAAATGAGTCCTAACGATACTCTGCTATATTCATGGACAGTAGCCTGCAGATGAAAACAAGGAAAATGAAAAGACCCTCTAATGAGAAAGGCCACCGGTGTAGGGCTAATGCTCCTACAAGGAAACATCACAGATTGTGTGAATGTGTGTGTTTGAAACAAGATGTTACTGTGTAGCTCTGGCTAGTCTGGAATTCTCACTATGGAGAACAGTTTGGCTTTTTTTTTTTTTTTTTGAGTCAGGGTTTCTCTGTATTGTTTTGGAGGCTGTCCTGGAACTCACTCTGTAGACCAGGCTTGGTCTGGAACTCACATAGATCTGCCTGCCTCTGCCTCCCGAGTGCTGGGATTAAAGGCGTGCGCCACCACCACCAAACAAGCTAAGATTTATTTATTTACTTATTTAATGTGCATCAGTGTCAGTGTGAGGGTACCAGATTACCTGGAACTGGAGTTACAGACAGTTGTAAACTGCCATGTGAGGGCAGCCAGTGCTCTTAACTATTGAGCCTTTTCTCCAGTCCAGATAAAGTACTTTTATTTATTTATTTACTTAATTTATTTATTTATAGATTTGGTGGTCAGCCTGGCCTCAGAAGGGTTATGCAGCTGAGGCTGGCCTTAAACTCCCACAATCTTGCTTCCACCTTCCAAGAGCTAGGATTATATAGGTATGCAACATCACTCCTGGTTCCAAAGTGGTTTTAAAGATTTATTTATTTATTATGTATACAGTGTTCTCAATGCATGAATCCTTACAGGCCAGAAGAGGGTGCCAGATCTTATTATGGATGGTTGTGAGCCATCATGTGGTTGCTGGGAATTGAACTCAGGACCTCTGGAAAAGCAACCAGTGCTCTTAACCTCTGAGCCATCTCTCCAGCCCCTCCAAAGTGGTTTTAACAGAAATGTCAATATTTTTCTAACAGTTCTGGTCCAACATTATTGTTTCTCGGAGGTCTCTCCTTGACTGGTAGCAACAAGTCTTCCTCCCTCCCTCCCTCCCTCCCTCCCTCCCTCCCTCCCTCCCTCCCTCCCTCTCTCTCTCTCTCTCTCTCTCTCTCTCTCTCTCTCTCTCTCTCTCTCTCTCTCTCTCTCTCTCTCTCTCTCTCTCTCTCTCTCTCTCTCTCTCTCTCTCTCTCTCTCTCTCTCTCTCTCTCTCTCTCTCTCTCAGGGACCACTGTAGCTTTCCTCTACGTGGATGCCCTTGTTGCTCAAATTCAAGGCCTAAGGGATTTTTTTAATAAGATTTATTTATTATGTATACAGTGTTCTGCCTGAGTATATGTCTGCAGGCCAGGAGAGGGCACCAGATCTCATTGCAGATGGTTGAGAGTCACCCTGTGGTTGCTGGGAATTGAACTCAGGACCTTTGGAAGAGCAGCCAATGCTCCTAATCACTGGCTGAACCGTCTCTCCAGCCCCTAGAGGAGTGTTTTTAAATATGAAAGACTTGAAGGATTCCATGGGAGCTTGGACATTCTACTGCTCACACAATGCCCAGTGTCTGCATCTTGCTTATAAGCAATTTATATGCATAAATATACAAGCACAGTCCTGCTGGAGGCAGCAAAACTGGTTCTTAGTGGTAACCTCTTTGCTGTCCAAGCCTTATTTCCCTTTTCTGCTTCAGTGTCTTCAGAGGAGGAGGGAGATGGCCAGTTCCTCCCACATCAGCACTTGCCTTTACAGTCTGCGGAACGCCTGCAAGAACAAGCCCACTTTGACCACTTCAGCCACCTCAGGACCTAAGCCCACATTTCTTCATTGCACAAGGACAGTGGCCACACTGGATTACAGCCCACTCAAGAAGCTCCATTCTGACTTAGTCCCATCCTTAAGGACCTTTGCTCACTCTCTGAGATTTAGCATATGAATTTTGGAGGACACTACTCAGTCAGTGACAAGTGCTGTGTATGCCCTGTAGATAAGGCTGGCCTTTAATTTGCCTGCCTCTGTCTCCCAAGTGCTGGAATTAAAGGTATGCACCACCACCACCTGGCTTCTTTTGTTTTTACATTTATATTCATCTGTGAGGTGTGCGTGCATGTCTGTGTATGTGTGCATGTGTGTGGAACTTCTGGGAGTTATTTTCTCTGTCATGTGGGATCTTAGGGACTGAACAAGTCATCAGGTGGGAGTGACTAAAGAACTGTTCTAGAGACGTGACAACAAAAGGTAACACATGGTACTGGATTTAACAGGCCAGAAAGCAAAGGTCCTGAAGGGAGGCATGGCATCACCTGCATTGGCTTGGTGGGGGTATTGGTCTTGATCTCATGTTGACTTCCTGACAAGGAGGGCTAGATAGTGGCCAACCAAAGAGCCTTGTATAGTAAGACAGACATTCCTGAGAGAATTTAAGGACAATAGAGTGTCTGCCAGAAACAGACACATCCAGATAATGGAACAAGTGTGAAAAGCGCTAATAATTAGAAAAGGTGGCCAAGGAGAGACAAGCTTTTGAAATCTACTTTAAGCAGAGGCTGGTTCAGAAGTTCTCCTGCCTCAACTTCCCCAGTGCTGGAACTGCAGCCACCACGGCGTTTCTCCAGCGTTTTTGAAACTTTCCTGTAAGTCTGAAACTATATCCACATTCTAAAAAACGAGAGTCAACATTTAAAAGCAAATTTTTATTTACAATATAAAGGTTACAAAGGCATATATACTTTATATATATATATATTTATAATACCCTTAAGTTACAAGTTTTCATTGTAATATACAATGCTCTGTGTTGATGTGTAACCCAAGAGAAGTGTCATCTAAACATCTATATTAATAGAGTATACATGAAGCTTCTTTCACAAGACACATACTGCTGTTTTATGTCATGGGTCTCTGATTTGGTGGCCAGAACACTTGAGACATTGTAAGTAAGACTTGAACAGTGGTCTTACTTGAAAGATTCTAAAAAGAAAACAAAGCCCACAATAACCAACTGGTAGAAATTTATTCTTTGAGACAGTTTCACACACTCGAGCTGGCTTGATATTCACTCCATTTATTGATACCTTCTTTCTGCCTCCTGCCTTCCAAATGAGTGCTGGTCACAGATGTGGCCACCACACCTGGTTTTGTGTAGTATCAGGGACTTCCTGTATATGAGGCAAGTCTTCTTACAATTAACATCAACAGCCTTACTTAATCTAGTTTCCTAAGTCTTTACACTTAGCAAAAAAGAGCAGCGTGGAAAATCATACATACATGTCGGTGATATCAGTGTGCATAGAAGAAAAATGTGCTCTGAAAAACTTCAGATCTGGCACCAAAAAGAAAAGAGATTGGTTGGGCACTGAGAGCTCCATGCTGAACTCACCCAACAGACTGTAACCATTACAGGACATCCTATACTAAAGATCTGAACCCAGTGCCTAGGATATGATATAAGTGAGGGTCGCAGAGACTGCAAATCTGAACCTTTTTTCTCCCCAATCCTATTAATTCAGAGTAACAGCAAGATGCAACAAATACCCACTGGTAACAGGAGTCAACAGAAAGGAAGCACTTTTTCTGTTCCAAAGGATGGAACCTGCAGCAATACTATGTGCTGGTTTTGATAAAATTCAATAATTAGCACCTGATTGTCAAAGGGCAGTTTAAAGAGCAAGACACTGAGGGTATACCTCATTTTCACACATGACTCCAGCACACTTGAAGACAAGGGGAAAGAAGCCTAAGAATCTACACCCTTCTGCCACCTCCACCACAGAGTTCAGGTGCTGTTTGGGAAACAATTAAACATGGCTGCCTTTCCTTAGGCAGTCCAGCCCAGATTGGCTAAGTGTCTGTTACCCAAGGGATGCAACTTTGCTCTCTCGGGCATTACAAACAACAAAAACTACACTTATGGTTGTTAAGTGCTTGACTTTTAAGTACAGGAGTTTGAAGCAGTGTGAAAAGTCTTAGGTAGTTGCAAGATTTAGCTTTTCAGCAGAGTATGTTTTGATATTTGATATTCTAATGACATTACAAAACTTAAGTTTTTCTCCCTTTTGTAGGCTGTCATTATTTGTATCAAAAAAAATTTGAAAAGGCTTCAAAATTTTTGAAAAAATACATGTCCAAGGACCCTACAACTCAGGTAAATTTGATCTATTTTTATTCCTGTGACTTAATCCATCTCACTGCCTTTTGTAGAGTAGTAACAAAAAGGTTCTTTGTTGAGACTGCCATTTACCCCAGGTGTGGTAGGAAACACCAATAACTCTAGCACTCGGGGAGGCAGGTGTAGGCAGATCATTGCAAGGCCAGCCAGAACTTCTGTTTCAAAAAAAAAATCTAAGTATTCACCTTTAAAAACCCAATACAGGTTGTCTGTGATCCCAACCTCTGAGAGCTTAGGCAACAGGACTGCAAGTTTTGGGGCCTTCCTTGGGCTATATGGAGAGTTATAAGGCTAGCCTAGGAGATACTGTGAGACTGTCTTTTTTTTTTTGAGACAGGGTTTCTCTGCGACTTTGGAGGCTGTCCTGGAACTAGCTCCTGTAGACCAGGCTGGTCTCAAACTCACAGAAATCTGCCTGCCTCTGCCTCCTGAGTGCTGGGACTAAAGGCATGCACCATCACCGCCCAGCATGAGACTGTCTTAGAATATGCTTCAAGCAGGGCTATGGTGGTACACGCCTTTAGTCCCAGTGCTTGGGAGGCAGAGGCAGGCAGACCTTGTGAGTTTGAGGTCATCCTGGTCTACAGAGTGAGTTATAAGACAGCCAGGGCTGTTAGACAGAGAAACCCTGTCTTGGAAAACCAATCAAACAACAAAACCAATCAACATGCACATATACCAATTGGTATTTGAGAGCAAAGAGTAATTTACAAAAAGGCATATTTATAAATTTCATTAAACTCACACTCAAATTTTTGAGCTGAGTTTCATGTATCTTAGGTTGACTTTAAACTCTTTATGCAGGTGAGGATGACTTTGAACTCCTGATTTTCCTTGTCTCACACCTCCTGAGTACTGGAATTGTACTTCACAGACTGTAGCTGGTGAGATGGTTCAGTGGTTAAGATTACTGGCAGTAGATGCAGAGAAGCTAGGTTTTAGTTCCCAGCATCTATCTACATGATGTCTTCTAACCCTCTGTGAATTCAGTTCTGAGGATCTGATGCCTTCTTCTGGCTTCCTCAGGCTCTAGGCGTACATATGATGTACATGTAGGCAAAACTCATATACATAAAAACAAATTGATCAAGTCACCCAAAGTGGGATGGAAAAATAGAGGTGGCAAGAAAATGTTCGAGTTTATAGTTTGAAAGTGGTGCACAGCTGTGATCCCTGGCACTCAGCTGGAGGTAGGAGGACCAGCAATTTGAGGTTGACATAGGTCATATGAGACAGTATGTCTAAAAACCAAGAAGAAAACCAAAACTTGTCATTCTGAAATCATAGAGGCTGGGAATATATGACTGTATAGCTCGGTGGTACTAACCATATGCTTAGCATGCTCACGGCCCTGTCAGAGGTCAATGCAAATGCCTAACGTTAAAAGAGAAAAGAACTCAAGTTTTTCTGAGTTAATGTAACAACCATTTTTCTAGTTGATTTGACCACTGCTGGAAAAAGACAAGAAATAATGTGATCCCTGTGGTTATTACCTGAACCTCAACCTGAGTCTCACCTTTGATAAACTTGTGTTGCTGATCAGACAGGTGTGGATTTGTGTCTGCTTTCAGCAGTGCTCCAGAGGGTCCAGGCGTTGCACATGCTGGGCAGGTGCTCTGCTACTGAGCTACACCTCCAGGCCATTCACTTTTTGAAAAGAGACAACAGGTTTCAGTCTTTTGCTAGAATGACTGACTCCCACTTACGTCATTATAGTGTAGAACAACTATGTTGCTCGAAGATACATAATCCTGACATGCATGATTTTTACCTGTCATTACACTCTTAGTCAATGTCTAGAGGCCCAACACAGTGAAGGGTGGAGCTCAAAGACAGTTCAGGATAACTGCCATCAGCTTTTGGGATTGTACGTAGAAAATTAAAAATCATTCTAGGAGCCGAGTGGTGGTGCAGATCTTTAATCACATCACTTGGGAGGCAGAGGCAGGCAGATCTCTGTGAGTTTGAGGCCAGCCTGGTCTACAGAGAGAGATCCAGGACAGCCTCCAAAACAATAGAGAGAAACCCTGTCTCGAAAAACAAAACAAAACAAAAATCATTCTATATTACTAAATAATTAAAATAAGGGCATGGAGAAGGAACAATAGGAAAATAAAGTTTCTTTCGTCTTCAGCAGAGGAAAAGTCACAAAACAACTGTAATGTCATAGAAAGCGTCCTAAGGCCGGGCGTTGGTGGCGCACGCCTTTAATCCCAGCACTCGGGAGGCAGAGGCAGGCCGATCTCTGTGAGTTCGAGGCCAGCCTGGTCTACAGAGCGAGTTCCAGGACAGCCTCCAAAGCCACAGAGAAACCCTGTCTCGAAAAACCAAAAAAAAAAAAGCATCCTAAGCTCACAGTAGACTATAGTGCCACCTGGTTCATGTGCCTGACAGAAACATTTGAAAGAATGAGCAGGACTTTCATAAAATTCAACTAAAGTTTATACAATCTCAAATTTATCTATTTTATTTTACTTTTTTTTCTTTGGTTTTATGAGACAGGGTTTCTCTGTATTGTTTTGCATGCTATCCTGGAACTTGCTCTGTAGACCAGGCTGGTCTCGAAAGCAGAGATCTGCCTGCCTCTGTCTCCCAAGTGCTGGGATTAAAGGAGTACAAACACTCAGGCTCTCAAACTCTTTTAGCAGGTGGGGCTTTCAACAGAAGTTGCACAGCAACTTGGAAGATGTTTTGCATTAAAACACATGGGCATATTCTTTGATGAATTTGGAAACAAATCCACATGCATTTAAACTAAACAAGAGGTCTTTGAGTTTCTTACAAAATTTTAAGAAATCAGCAATTTTCTTCACATATTTTTGTTCATCCAAATCCACTCATAGTAAAACCTTTTTTTGGGGGGAGGCAGGGGGAGCAGGATTGTGTTCAGATTCTACACAGTCTAATATTTTTTGGTGATAATAATGTCTTATTTTGAAAGAATAAATTTTGGTTTATCAGCTAAGTGCATTTATTCAGCTGAACAAAAGCTTTGCTACTACTCTGTTCAGTTAAGAAAACAAATCAGACAATGTTAGCTTTTTTGGCTGGAGAGATTTCTCTACATATAAAAATATAAATAATCCAATCTCTCCTACCATGCAAACAATTTCCACTAACAAACTGAGAGTTAGGGCAAAAACAAAAAACAAAAAACCTCACTAGGCACTATCAGACTTACTCTAGTCTAAAAAGTGCTAAACATGGCTTCAAAAAAAGGCAGATGACATTTAAAATAACATTCTCATTGCCCACACATGTCCCGATATTTAACCTGAAACTGTTTACATGTTGGTGACTTTAGTCATAATTATCTATATAGCATACACAGGAGTCTTTCTTTCTTTCTTTTTCTTTCTTTCTTTCTTCTTGGCTTTTTGAGACAAAGTTTTTCTGGCTGGCCTGGAACTCACAGAGATCCGCCTGCCTCTGCCTCCCAAGTGCTGGGATTAAAGGCGTGTGCCACCACGGCCCGGCCGAGCATTTCTTTAGATAAAACATTTGATACCAATTTCTAGGTAATGCTTGTTGACAATATCAGCTTCCTTTAGCCCTCTTTCTTGTGGGGCAGGAGATTTCTCACGCCCAGGTGTGGGAAGCAAAGACGCCTAGGAAGTGGTCCATCTGAACTGGGTGCTCTGTAGTTTCCTCTCCACTGACACCCCAGGATCCTGCAACATCCCCAACAATATTCAAAAGAGATAGAAAAGACAATCTAGCTGATTCTATAAAAGAGGTGAATTATCAAAGATGTTCATTTTAGTTATGACTTGAAAATATTTTACCGTCTTTTGGCATTTGAATACAAAATTGATAATACAGATATTATCAAGGTGCCCCGCACTCACAAAAAGCATTTCACTTGTGGTTTGAAAAAAGTCAACACACTTAGTTGACCACATGCCAGGGGGCTGCTACAGCTTCTCAAACAAGTAGCTTCAAGCCCTTGCTCTCGGGGCTGTTAATGACAAAGAAATCATCCATAAGCCTTCATTTTACATCAGGATCCAAATGACAATATCAAAAACCTTGTGGGCCACAGTCCTCAGACAAAGGACGAACATCTTATGTACCCTTAGACTTCACATGGCTTACAGCTCTTCTAAGGGACCAGGTGGCAAAAACTCCTGTTGCACTTCCTGGAGGTTGAGCCTTTCACACCAGTGTGGAAGACTTCAACTCTACTGCTGAAGCCTGAGTCATCCATATCTCCTAGTAACAAGAGCATCCCAGCACTCCGCCTGAGGTTATCTGTTGTAGTTCTGCTTTCTGAACTTGGCTGGACCTTTAAAATTTTTTTTTCTTTTGAGTTGAAGATGTATCATGGATGGATCCAATCTCAGAGTTATAACTTTTTAAAACATAGAAAGTTCTTGAAAGATGTTCTTTAGATTTTAATTTCTAGTTTAAAGTGGATCCCAACATTCATTTTTTGGTGCTCCAATGTCTATTTGAAGGTGAGGCAGGAGGGACATTCCTCTCCAGCCTTTGTATACTGTTAGTCTGACGGCAGAGAGCAGAGGGAGGTCTGACGCAGAGACAGCAGAGGACAGTGGGGTCACCATCTCTACTTGGGTATCTGTTCTTTCTTCTGATCAACATGTCAATCAAGGCACCCAAACTACACAGCTCAGGTTCTGTGTGAACAGTTGTGTTTTCTTTCCTTTCCCCCACGACCCCATTTGAAGCTTCACATTCCTGTGTAGACAGAAATCTAGAAAATAAGAGCTACTTCTAGATGTTTTTTAGAGAGCACAAAAACTCAAAAATCAATGTTTCTTTTTTGTTCAGATTTAGAGACTGTGCTAATCTGGTTATTTTATGTAGAGAGACTATTTCAAATGTTTCTACACTTATCTATTTCCTTCTAAACCAGGAAAAGCAAGCTGAGTATGATTTTCCAGGCCACAAAACCAGAAAGCACCCTGATGCTGAGTCATGATGACACTTGGCCATACTGAGCAAAAGCAGGTGAGCGGTGTGTCTTATCCCCTACCCACTCAGGGTGTGTTGGGAAGCCGATATTTAACTGTGAGCTGAAGGCAACTTGTCCTTACTACTTTGGGGCCACAGAAGTCCAACGTCAGGACCTTCCCTGGCCTTACAGTGCCCTATGCATTTGACATGTCATCTGTGCTTTGAAACTAACGACTCACAAAGACGCCATTCAAAGACGACACTAAGAAACCGGCCTCCAGGATGACTCCTCAAAGCTATGGCATCCCTAGAATGGCAGTGAGATCCAGTCATCTAAATAGTCACTCATAAAGCTCCAGTGACCCTGACCAAAGGCACATTTGGTAAGCAATAAGAAATGGCTTAGCTTAAAATGAGGATCTTTCTTTCAAAATAAACCTTAGACCATCCCCTGGCTCCTACCACATATAAACTCAATACAACTAAAGGAAGCAAAACCCCCCTTTTAGAGCAGCGGTTTCCAACTTGCTTTCCAAGTTGGCCAACCACAAAGAGGGAGAGTGAAGGCAAAGGCAACCAGACTAAAGGTTGCACTCATGAGGGGCAGAGCTGGTGTTAGAGGTGAGGGTGGGGCAGGGTGAGGTCAGCGAGAAGGAGGGTGAATGGAAGAACCTTTGGGGACGAACAGGTAAAGAGAGTAACACTGCGTGCGATCGACCTGTGTGGGATGCCTGCGGGATGGGCTGTTGTACATTAGCATCTGGGGAGTGACAGTTATCCTAGTAAGAGCTCAAGACTAAGGAAGAAAAGAACTTCTTTTGGCTATTTGTTTATATCCAAGGAGAAACCTAAAGAGCCAGCCTTCATAATGGGAAATAAACATAAATAGAGATCACATTATGAAATGAGACGATAAATCATGACTTCAATTTGGAGCTTACTATAGTTCTAGAATTTCTGACCAAAGTTGTGTGGGTAAGGTCAGCCCGTTTTGAACCCCGTTGGTTCAGCAGAGACCTGCAGGTCCTTGGGAAGGCACTATGATGGAGGAGAGCAAGGGTTTCTTTTTGTGCTTCTTGTTGTTGTTGCTCTTTTTAAATTTTCATGTTTTTGAAGTGTAAATACTTTTTGTGACAGTCAAAGCTCTTTCTTGACTCTTGCTGCTCATACAAGCAGTCCCATTCGAGTGACTTTGGCGGATAAGAATGTGTGTAACACAAATACAATCGGCTTTGGACAAGAATGCAGGTCCACGGTCTGTGGAGAAAGGACATGAATCATACAATATATAATATACACACACTTCAATAGACAAAGACATTTAAGTAAATTTGGATATGATGTCCCACTTCTTTTCTTCTTTTGAGACAGGGAACTTTTTATAGCCCTGGCTGGAAACTCACTCTGTAGACCAGATTGCCTCGAACTCACAGATATCTGCCTGCTTCTGCCTCCTGAGAGGGGGCACATGGCTCCATTTTTGTTTTGTTTTGTTTGGGCTTTGTTTTTTCAAGTCATGGTTTCTTTGTGTAGCTTTGGCTGTCCTGGAACTACTCTGTAGACCAGGTTTGGCCTCAAACTCACAGAGATCAGACTATCTCTGCCTGCCAAGTGCTGGGAATAAAGGCTAGCGCCACTCCTGCCCAATTTTTTTTTAATGCAGTCTCTTGTAGTCCAGGTGAGCCTCAAATTTATTGCATATTGATCTTCCTGCCTAGATTTTCATGGTGCTGAGATTATAGGGATATGTCACCATGCTCAGATTTATGTGGTGCAGGGGATCAAATACAAAACTTTGTGCAAGCTAGGCAAGTAGTACTCTATTAACTGAGCTACATTCCAATGTCTAAATTGCAATTCTTTATAATTGTATACATTCCTGCATGTGTGTGAACATGTGTTTGTGTGTTGAGCACATGAATGCCACAGCACATGTGTCAGAAGACAGTTTATGGCAGTTGATTCTCTCCTTCTACCATGGGGATCCTGGGGATCCATCCTAGGTCATCAGGTTTGGTGGCAATTGCCTGTACTTGTTGGGCCACCTCTATGGCTCTTCCCATGCCCTTTTTGGAGACAGTGTCTCTCATTGGCCTGGAACCTGCCACTTCAGCTAGGCTGGATAGTCAAGAAGGCCCAAGAATCCATCTATCTTTGCCTCCCCAACGCTGGAATTACAAACGTGTGCTACACATCCAGCTTCTATTTTGTTTGTTTGTTTTTCTTTCTCTCTCTCTCTGTTTTGGAGGCTGTCCTGGAACTTGCTCTGTAGACCAGGTTGGCCTTGAACTCACAGAGATCCACCTGCCTCTGCCTCCAGAGTGCTGGGATTAAAGGTGTGAGCCACCAATGCCTGGCACATCAGCTTCTTTAATGTACATTTTTGGGGGGATTGAATTCAGGTACTCACACATGTAGAGCAAACACATTACTCTCTCCCCAGTTCTCAGACAAAACTTAAAAAAAAAAGAGAATGGTTTCCTAATATGGGGAAAACAAAACAATATAAAAAACAAAAAACAAAACCCCAATCCTGCCAGGTGGTGGCTGTGCATGCCACTCAGGAGGTAGAGACAGGTGGATCTCGAGTCTGAGGCCAGTCTGATCTATAGATCGAATTCCAGGACAGTCAGGACTATGCAGAGAAACCCTGTCTTGAAAACAAACAAGAAACAAAACCAACCCAGTCCCAGTGCCATCCTGAAAACCAAAGAACAATGTCCTAGCTCTAATAGAAAGTCAAATGCTAGGCCATAAGAGTTAAGAAGCAGAGAGAGGGCTGGGGCTGCAGCTCAGTGGTAAAGCACTGCCCTGCATGCAGAGGCCTTGAATCCAACATCCAGCAACAAAATGGAAAGCAAGCGAGCAAACAGAAGCAATGTGAAAGACAGAGCCAACTAACGCAGACAGGTTCATGCCATCCAGGGTGGCGCCCAATAGACATTTCATGGGTTTCAAAAACACCTCACCAGTTCTCCCTCAGGACCACCAAAATCCAGATAGAGATTTCTGATGCCATCATCAGCAGACATCTTCAGCCGGTCAAAAGGATAACGGTACAATATGCTGCTAGAGCCGCCATTGTCTCTGGAGATAGTGAACCCATGTTCATAGTGGACAGTGAATCTTACCTCTTGGCCACTTAAGGTGCAGCCTATCAGAGAAAAGAAAAGTCATATATAATAAAGATTCTATTTTAGTTGTCAAGTAGAAAACTTGTCTTCCAGTTTCAAACAAGAAAAACAACCTTTTTTTTGAGAATATGAGACCTAAGCTGCTTAAAATTTCCTAAAATAAAAATTTTGATTTATTATTCTACAGTTTGACAGTACAAATACTAAAATTGGAATGATACAGGGAAGATTAGCATCACCCCGTGCAAGGATGACATGCAAATTCAGGAAGCAGTAAGTATTTTTTAAAAGGCCTATTATTTTTATTTGGAAACAGGTTCAATATATCCCAGTCTGGTCTGTAATTATGTACTCCTCTTGATCTTCCTGCTTGTGTATCTCAGTGTTAGAATTATAAGTGTGGGCTGAAGCCAGGCTGAGTTTTCCTTTTTTTTCCTCTCTTTTCTTTTTTTTTTTTAGCCAGGCTCTTGCTGTATAGCCCTGCATAGCCTGGATAGCCTGGAAGTAGACATGTAGACCAGGCTGACCTGGAATTCATAGAGATCTACTTCCTTCTACCTTAGGTGAGCAGGGATTAAAGGTGTATGTCGTCACCACACCTGGAATTAACTATAATTTAACTATATGTGTATATATCTGTGTGGGTGTGTAGCTTGTGAATGTAGGGGTCCAAAGAGATCTGGGTCCCCTTGGAGCTGGAGTCACAGTTGATTGTGAGTTATCTGTCATGGGTACTGGGAATTGAACTTGGGTCCTTTGCAAGAGCAGTACATGCTCTGAACCACTGAACCCTGTCTCCTGCCCCCGACAATTACTTTTGCCCAAGCCAGCATCTTGACTGAGATGACACAGCTAATGTTATAAAAATTTTTTTAAAGCTCAACCAAACAAAGATACATCTGAATTGACAAAAACACAGAAACTCTGATCACTGGGTATTGGGGCACATAATCTCAGCACTCAGTTAAATAGCTGGGTTACAGAGTGACACCTGTAGATTAGGGCTGAGCTTTTGTTTTTCCATTTTAACAAGAAAAGCTCTTGAAGCAGGTCATCACATGTCATCAACATATTCTCTCACTGGCTATGCAAAAATCCCATTAGTTAATGCAGCTGTATGTTTAGGAAACTGGGAAAAGGAAAAACAGATAAATACTGGTAGTATCCTTCTCTGTACTATTTGAAGTGAGCTCTGGACCACAAATTAGTAGTTATCCCCAGAGGAAGAACCTAGGGGGTAAGGAGTAAACACGATGCAATCAGCTTCCTGGTAGTCCATGCACTTTCCCTAAATGAATGCCGAGGGAGAGGTGGGCAGCACGGCCTAACAAAGCACAGATTACTGTCTCACATCTGTAAAGCCAGTGTGCAGTGAAGGGATGGGGCCGAAAGGGGCGAGAAGTTCTCACAGTCCTGGCTGGAGAAGGTGCCAAGCAGGCAGCTGAGTGGCTGGCAGTGAGTGAGCTAAAGACAGTCACAGCCAGGAATGTAAGCCATCCACCCAACAATGGGCTTCTCTGAGATTCCTCTCACATGGTAGGCAAGCACTGAGCTCACATTCCAAGGCCCTGAGATTTCTCACATGTTCTATTTGGAACTGTGTGCCTCAGGAGGGAAGGAAAGACAAGCAAATGTGAGAAGAGGTACTAGCTGCACCTCCTCAAGACAGGGTTTCTCTGTGTAACCCTGGCTGTCCTTGAATTCAGAGATCCAACTGCTTCTACTACCAGACAGGCTGAGCCACTACCGCCTAGTTGAAAACAGAATCTTGTTTATGGTTGCTTTAACCTTGAAAAGGAGCAGGGAAGATCATACTGAATATGTTTAGGTCTAGATACTGGGTATTTGTTTGTGGTATCACACGCACGCATGCACACACTCACACTCAAGCTACAGTGTGCAAGTCACAGGACAGGTTTGGGAGTTGGTTCCCTCCCTCTACCAAGTGGATATCAGTATTGCACTCAGGCTGTCAGGGTTTTTCACACACCCTGATCTATCACACTAGCCCTATATTATTTTATGTTTTTGTTTTACTTATTTTTATTTTATGTGGATAAATGTTTTGTCTGCATTTATGTCTGTATGCCATTATGTATATGCCTGGTGCCCAGAAAGTGTCATTGGATCCCCTGGGACTGGGATTACAAGTAGTTATGAGACTCCTTGTGCATACTAGGAATCAAATTTATGACCTCTGGAAGAGCAGCCAGTGTTCTTAACCACTGGGCCATCTCTCTAGCCCCTTATTTTATTTTACTTCAGAGCCAGTCTTAATGTAGCTCATCCTGGTCTGTATAGCCAAGAATGACCTGAACTTCAGATTTTCCTATGTCTACCTCTCAAATGCTGTGTCCTGGCTAACTTCAGCTGCCAATTTGACACGGTCTAGAGTCATCTGTGGGAGTCTTAATTAAGGGACTGCCCACATCAATCTGGCCCGTGACCATGTCTGTGAAGGACATGATTAATGATTGATGTGGGAGGGTTTAGGCTGTGTAAGAAAGCTAGCTGAGTGTGAGCTGGGAGCAAGCCAGCAAGCTTCTACAGTTCTCACCTTGAGTTCCTGTCCTGACTTCTCTCAGGCAAATAAGGCGCTGAATGGTGGTGGCGCACGCCTTTAATCCCAGCACTAGGGAGGCAGAGGCAGGCAGATCTCTGTGAATCTGATGCCAGCCTGGTCTACAAAGCAAGTTCCAGGACAGCCAGAACTGTTACACAGAGAAACCCTGTCTCAAAACAAAAACAAACCAAACAACAAACAAAAACAAAACAACCAACCAAACAAAAACCCCCAAAAACAAAAACTGTGATTCGAAAAGAATCCCTTTGTCCCTTAGACTCCTTCAGACACATGACCTCTTCATGTATTTCTAGTATTTGGTTTAAGAGGGTGTGATGGTACATGCCTATAATCCTGGTGCCTGGGAAGCAGAGGGAGAAGGATTGGAGTACACTGCCATCCTGAATATATAGGAAGTTTGAGATCAGCCCGGTTTTAGAACAATCTATTTCAAAAAACAAAATGAAAAACAATTTAGTTTAATTTAAAAAACAAAAAAGAGACATTGTAGGGCCAGACTTGACTGACACAAGTTAGAGCCATCAGTAAGGATAGAGCCTTAATTGAAAGAATATCTTTATAAGATCAAGACTAGCCTGGCAGTGTTGGCGCGAGTCTTTAATCCCAGCACTCAGGAGGCAGAGGCAGTCGGATCTCTGTGAGTTCCAGGCCAGCCTGGTCTAGAAAGCTACAAAGAGAAACCCTATCTCGAAAAAACCAAGCAAATACATAAGATCAAGACTAAGCAAGCCTGTAGGGCACTTCCTTAGTGATTGATGAGGGAGGGCCCAGCCCACTGTGGGTAGTGCCATCCCTCGGTTGGTGGTCCTAGGTTCTACAAGAAAGCAGGTTGAGCAAGCAAGTAAGCATCACCCCTCCATGGCCTCTGCATCAACCTGTGCTTCCAGGTTCCTGCCCATTGATTTTAATGATGAACTGTTATATGGAACTGTGTGTGAAATAACCCCTTTCTTCCCCAAGTAGCTTTTGGTCATGTTCCATCACAGCAAAAGAAACACTAAGACAGGGATTATTCGGGGGAGAGGAGAGGAACAGTATGGGGACAAGTGAGTGTAATGGGGGATGAATATGAATAAAACATAATGATATGCATGTATGAAAATGTTATAGTAAGTAGCTGGGGAGATGACTCGGCAGTTAAGAGCACTGGCTGTTCTTGTTTCAATCCCAACATCCACATGGCAGTTCACAACTGTCTGTAACTCCAGTTCCAGGTGATCCAATACCCTCTTCTGGTTTCTATGGGCATTACATACATGTGGTTCACACAAGGAGGCAAAACACTCACATGTAAAATAATAAAATGCTGTAATGAAATGTAAGCATTTAACTTAATTTTGGTGGGCACTGTTAACTTCAGTATAATCCACTCCAGCTGGTATTATCACATTCCTCTCCCTGACACTCACCATCCCCACAAATCTAGTTTTCCTTCCACTGCTCTGGTTACTATGTCTTAAACTCATGAAGGGACAGTGGCTTTTTCACATTGTATGGGGAATTATTGAATAGAGAGACACACCTTTTAAAAGTAACTTCTTCTTTTATCTGAGACAGGGTTTCTCTGTGTAACCCTGGCTGTCATTAAACTAGCTCTGTAGAACAGGCTGGCCTTGAACTCAGAGATCTGCCTGCCTCTGCCTCAGACTAAAAGGGTGTGCTACCACCACCCACCCTAAAGGTCACTTCTTAAGAAGTCCCTAATATTAACACACTTTAGTAAAGCCAGGAGGAGAAGAGATTTATTCACTAAGGATCAGTCAGTGTTATACTGAAATGAGTAACCATGTTACCTATTCTGTACCTTTATATGTATGTGTAGGTGCATGAACAGGTGCACATATGTAGAGACTGGAGGACAGACCTTGGGAATTGTTCCTCCCTGGTTGCTTGCTATCTGTCTTACTTTTTAGAAACAAGCAAGGTATCTTGTTGGTCTGGCCAATGAATCCCAGGGATTCTATTTATGTTCCTGGGTCTGGAACTACATACATGAACCAGCATAGCTGGATTTGGAGGTAGACATGGGTTCTGGGGAGGGAGAGAGGGATGGACACTGACTCAGGTTCTTTTGAGAATTTCAGGGCAACTTTGAAGGGAGTAGGTCCCTACAACTATGCCAGAAAAAGGCTGGGGTAGTAACTCCTGCTCAACAGTATAAGAAAAGCCACCCTACCATATCTAACCAACAAGCTAATTGAGGATAATAGGACACTGTACTCTTCTCACAGTTCTTAGTCAAAGATAGGAAATAAGTTTTATTTACTTTAATCTCTCATTATAAAGCATAGCTCTTGGTAAACACTAAAGTACACAGCAAATATTTGCTGATTTAATGAAGGGGATTGATACTGTATATCCTTCTGGCATTTAATCCAGTCATGAGTATGAGTCATTGGAATAGAGAAGGAGAGGCATAAATTGCTGGCTCTATATAAGAACTGCAACTCAAGTCACAGCCACACCAACCCTAGTTTTTGTGAGACTGAAATATCTGAATGCTTACAGAGAGTACATGAAACAGCACCAAGTTCATAGGAACTAGTCACCAGGGAGTTCTTCCGCAGTGGAACACAACCAGCAGGGACTAGCCACTAGAGGGAGCTTACAATAGCAGAAACATGGCAACCAGTTCCTTGAAGTACTAAGAGTGTTGGAAAGAATATTTTCAAACCTTTGAAGAGAAACTCCTATTCCAAACACTTTATTTTATGTATCTACAATATTGCCAGATGCTTGTATTTAAGGGTGTCTAGCCATACCTTAGATGCCAAATTTTCTTAACTATAGTGAGCGCATCTAATTTTTACTGCCTGGGTTCCTTTACTATGAAATGTAGATTAAAATGATAGAAAGTAAAAAAGTCACGTGGTGGCGGTGCTTAATGCCATGTGGCAAGCATGGTAAAGCTTTGCCAGTGAGACAAATACCAGATTTCTTCCCGCCATCACCACTTCTGCTACCATGTTTTAACAGTTTGTCGTCAGCACACACACAGTGGTTTTACTGCTTAAAGCTGAACAGTTTCACTTAGTTAATGTTAGAGGGCAGGAGAGATGGTTCGGTTTTAAAGGCACATACTTGATCTTCTAAAGGACTTACTCCGGTTTGGTTCCCAGCACCCACAAAAGCAAATCCTGTCTCTTCAGCTGCCCTTTTCTGGTCTCCAGGGGCACCTGCACGCACATGGCACATACACAAACATATGCCCACACACATCAATAAAAATAAATCCTGGAAAACACTATAACTGCTGTTGGAAATCCAGGGTCAAGTCCAGGATGACAGTATGTGCACACCTGTAACTCTAGCACTGGGGAAGTGAACAGGAGGAGCAGGAGTTCAAGGTCATCCTCTCATCCTTGCTACAGATTGAGTTCCAGGCCACAAACAACAAACAAACAGAAGTAACTCTACCTAGGGAGACTTCCTTGACCAGCTCAGCAGCAGCATGACAACCCTGAACAAGTATTCTGGTCCAGGTCGACAAATCCCGGTGTGTTTCAACCCTGAAGAGATGCATCTCAATGCCCTGCCGAGAGCCCGTCCTTGTAGCAAAGGTAAGGTCAGATCCAAGGGAGGGTGACCGACATCCAGAACCCGAATGAACCAACCTAGGGCCACAAACAGAACAGAGAGCTAAAGTAATTACTGCATTACTGGAAGAAAATGCCAGGAATTCAAGCTCATTGGTAAGCAAAAACTTATAAAAACCTTCAGCAGTTTTTAGATGAATGCATTTCAAAACCAGATTGTGGTATTTAAATAGATACTATTCTTTAATCCCACAGAATAATCCCTGGTGTCACAGGAGGCAGGGTACAACTTATTCTCTTCATAAAACACCTATCAACAGAAAAGAGATACAGAAAACTCTGCCAGGGGCTGGAAAGATGACTCAGATTAAAAGCATTTGCTGCTCTCCCAGAGGACCTGGGTTTGATATATGGCAATTCACAACCATCTCTGATACCCTCGCCTGTCTCCACAGGCACCAGGTACATATATGGTGCATGGACATGGACATACATGCAGGCAAAACATCCATATACAGAAAAACGAAGTCCAAAGAACAAGAAAAAGAAGGAGAGAGAGAGAGAGAAAGGAAAGGAAGGAAGGAAGATGCCAGGCAGTGTGGTGGACACGCCTTTAATCCCAGCACTCAGGAGGCAGAGGCAGGCAGATCTCTGTGAGTTTGAGACCAGCCTGGTCTACAGAGTGAGTTCCAGGACAGCCTCCAAAGCCACAGAGAAACCCTGTCTCAGGAAACAAACAAACAAACAAAAAAGAAAAGAAAAGAAAGAAAGAAAATACATCCAAATGTAGTGCTACATGGCTGTAATTCCAACACTGGGCAGTTGAGGCAGGATAATTGTAAATTTTAAAACAACCTGGGGTACAGACAATGACCTTCTCTCAAAATGAAGCAAAACACCACACGAAAATCCAACCATGGCATATTCCATTCAGTGGACTAGAAAAAGAAGTCCTATGATCATCTACCACATGGATGAACTTGGAGGATTTTATGTTAAATAAGTAAAAAAATCCAACATGCACATGGTTCTACTTATATGCAGCACCCAAACCTGACCCAGAATTATAATTTTTCCTGAAAACCAGAATTTTATCAGGGCAACAATTTCCTTGAGATAGGATCTCTTACTGAATCTGGAGTGAGCCTGATGGCCAGAAAGTCCTAGCAATCCTCCTGTCTCAGTTCCCACAGCACTGGGGGAACAGGTACATGTGTGGGATCCCTGGCTTTCTACCTGGGTGCTGTAACCAGAATTCATGCTTGAAACAAGCACTCATCACCCACTGAGCAATCTCTCTACCTGCAACCTGAGTTTTTACTACTTCAATAAAGACATTTTTAATTTTTTAAAATGTTTCTTTCATTTTATGAAAATTCGAAAATCAATATTGCCACATGTATAATAAAATTGCAAAAACTTTTGCATTTCTTGCCTTCCATTAATTTCTTTTTTTTTTTTTGGTTTTTTTTTTTTTTTTTTTTTTTGGTTTTACGAGACAGGGTTTCTCTGTATTGTTTTGGAGGCTGTCGGTCCAGCCCGGCCTCGAACTCCCAGAGATCCGCCTGCCTCTGCCTCCCGAGTGCTGGGATTAAAGGCATGCGCCACCACCGCCCGGCCCCCATTAATTTCTTTTTTAAAATTTATTATTATTATTTATTACATTTTTAAAATTAGAAACAAGCTTGTGTCACATGTCAATCCCAGCTCCCTCTCCCTCTCCTCATCCCGCACTCCCCAGCCCCACCCCCCAGTCTCCCACCCTATCCCCACTCCCTTCCCCATAGATGATGTTCAGAGTCTGTCATTTCGTTCAGGGCAGGGCCTAGGCCCTCCAAAGACATTTTAAAATTAAATCAACTCCCTACCCCCAAAGGCTATTTAGGGAACCCAATGCCTGCTGATACATGTGTGTTCTGTGTATGTGACAGGTTGCCAATTGCTCTGAAACATGTAAAGTATCAGCATTTTAACTTACTCCCAGGGCAAGTAACACTTTATGATTACATAGTATTACTATGAGATACCTTTGAACTTACAGACTTGCCCTATGGAGTTACTGCTGAGAACTGTGTTACTCAACTGATTACTGTAGAACTTATATGCCAGGTGAACATGAACTAGCTCAGAAAGAGTTACCTTTTAAAATTACTCTACATATGATCCAAGTAAGATGAAGTACAGAGGAAAGTAACATCATTATTCTACCATATTCAGTTTGATTGCCAATCCCATGCCAGACATTGCAAAATATCAATCTAAGAGAATATTCGTCTCCTAGATTTGATTTTGAAATGTTTGGCAGGGGAGATCCAATTCAAACCAGCTTCTGGACTTGGGGAGCAGCCATTGGTTAGGAAACACTGCCAAGTCGCCCCCCCCCTCCGTCGTGGGGAGGCAAAATAAGATCATGGAAGGATGAGCTTTAGCAGGCTGAGTCATATTAGTCCCACGTGCTCAATACCACTCAGTTGTCCACATGGTACAGTAAGCCATGTTGTCCGTGGGTTCTGTCTCTACCAAAGAGAAGTCTTATAGGAAAAGACTGCAAGATCCACAGCATCTAGGACATCAGCTCCCTGTGTTGTGTACCTAGCATTGATCTTAGGAAAGACCTAAAATAAAACCTCCAGGCATTACTTAATGCTCATTCCAAAACTGTCATGTATTGCGAGTATACACCACACGCACGCACGCAAAGCAGTTTTGATATCTAAGAATCTAATGTGAGCCAGGCATAGTGTTGCACACCTTTGATCCCAGCACTCAGGAGGCAGAGACAGGTGGATCTCTGTGAGTTCAAAGCCAGCGTGGTCTACACAGTTCCAAGACAGACTCCAAAACTACAGAGAAACCCTGTATCCAACAACAGCAAACAACCCCTAAAAAACCACAACAAAAATCTAAATGTGTATATAATCCAACATAAACTGTAGCTGTTACTTTACATAAATTTAACAATATTACTTGATCTTGAAGTTTGAAGCATAATTAATTCTTTTTCTTTTCTTTCTTTTTTTTGGGGGGGAGGGGTTCAAGACAGGATTTCTTTGTGTAACAGATCTGGCTGTCCTGGAATTAACTCTTTAGACCAGGCTGGCCTTGAACTCACAGAGATCCACCCGCCTCTGCCTCCGGAGTACTGGAATTAAAGGCGTGCGCAACCACTGCCCACCCATAATTAATTCTTAATTTACCAGTAATTACTTAGTTTTATAGATAATCAAGATCTTTCTTTTCCTTTTCTGTATGTTTCTGCTATCTTTTTTCCTGTGTATTCATTTGAACCTGGAGCTCACTGATTCCACTAGGCTGGCAGGTAGTGAGCTCCAGGGATCCACCTGTCTCTGCCTCCCCAGGATTGGGATTACATCTGTACTTGTTTTTTTTTTGTTTGTTTGTTTGTTTTTTGTTTTTTTGCAGGACTTCTGGGTATCTGAGCTCAGGTCTCAATGTTTATACTTTATCAACCAAGTTGTAGGCAGCTCCTCTTGGCTTCATTTTCTTGATGCTATTTGAAACACAAACACTAACTCTTACTCCCTTTTCTCATGTGCATGTTTTCTTTTCTTTGTTTTTTCACACAGGCTCTCATGTAGTAGCCCAAACCAATCCTGAACTCCTGGTTTTACTGCCTCTACCTCTCAAGTGCCAGTATTATAGTATGTATAGTATTATAGTATGTGCCACCATGTTTGGCTTTGTATTTGTTTTTGCTGCCATAGCTAAAATGGCTCTGGGTAGACCTTACATACACAACTGCCCCATTTTCTTTATTACTAAAGTCCTTTGATGAGTGACATCCAATGAATATGAGGTGACTGTAACTTCTAGCATTATGGAATGAAGGCTTATTTAGAGTCTTCTAAATCTTAGGAATACAAGTTAACTGGTCTAACCTTAACTGTGGAAACATATCCTTGTTTTTGTAGCATTCCTGTCCTGCTCTCAGTACAAGTGAGACAAAGTAGAATAAGTGACAGTAAGCTGGGCGTTGGTGTCGCACGCCTTTAATCCCAGCACTCAGGAGGCAGAGGCAGGCGGATCTCTGTAAGTATGAGACCAGCCTGGACTACCAAGCGAGTTCCAGGGCAGCCTCCAAAGCCACAGAGAAACCCTGTCTCGAAAAAAACAAAACAAACAAACAAACAAACAAACAAAAAAAGAATAAGTGACAGTAGCTCAGGTTTTTGAGGGGAATTGTACACAAGCACAGTGGGACGTTCTTAGATGACCAAGTTTTCTGATGTCAAGGTAGCTTTACTTGAGTGAGGGCATAGGAACTGACACTTGAACTATGTATGTCTTTTACAAGATGCTTCTACCCTCAAGGAATTAAGGAGAGCATACCTTGCTAGTTCTCAAGTTCAGGAGATGCTTTAACTCTGTTCTGTAATTTAGAGAAACCAGGAAAGCTGTATGAAAGTTTTTTTCTTTTCTTTTTTTTTCTGTATGAAAGTTTTTAAAGAAATCTAATCTTTAAGTAACTTTCAATTTAAAGTTTGATTTAGTTACCAGCAAATGAAGGTATAACAGATTTTTTTGTTTTTCTTTTTTAATTTATTTATTTATTATGTATACAATATTCTGCCTCCATGTATGTCTGCAGGCCAGAAGAGGGCATCAGATCTCATTACAGATGGTTGTGAGCCACTATGTGGTTGCTGGAAATTGAACTCAGGAGCTCTGGAAGAACAGTCAGTGCTCTTAACCTCTGAGCCATCTCTCCAGTACCTGTATGACAATTTAAAATTCTATTTTCATGAAAATAATAATACCAAGCTGCACACGGAGACACACACCTTTACTTCCAGTTCCTGGAAGGCAGAAGTACGTGGATCTCTCTGAGTTCATGGCTAGCGGGTTAGATGTTAAGTTTTAGACCAGCCTACATAGTGAATGAAACCTGTCACAAAAGCAAAATTTTTGTTGTTGTTGCTGTTGTTACTGAAAACAGGAAACATCCAGTGTTCTCTATGGGCACAGGGCTGGTACCAGCACTTTTCTCTTTTACTACCAAGTACTTTTCTGAGCAGCTCCCCTGTTTAATGAAACCACTAGATTATTTCCCACTTGTTCCTTCCATCAAAGGCAAATGGCAGTTACAACAAAACGTCACCAAGAGGCAGCTTCAGCTCAGGAGAGAGCACTGTGACTTCTCATGGATTCTGGTTTACTGCACTCAGAGAAACTTTTGAGTGATTTCTAAAAGCAGTCTTGTGGTGCTTTCCAGTTATACCAACACCTGACTCTTTAGAATCTAAGTAAAACTGAATTTGAATGTGCTTCTACTTGTAGTAGTTATCTCTCTCTTTTTTTAAAGATTTATTTATTTATTACAGATACAGTTTGTCTACATGCCAGAAGAGGGCATGCACCAGATTGAATTGTAGACGGTTGTGAGCCACCATGTGGTTGCTGGGAATTGAACTCAGGACCTCTGGAAGAGCAGTCAGTGCTCTTAACCTCTGAGCCATCTCTCCAGCCCCAGTAGTTATCTCTTAAGACAGTCCAAGTTTATATTTCTCATTGTTCTCCCACCCAACTCCATATATCTGTGACACTAGGAACATTTTGTGGCTTCAGGACAAAGACACGCTAATTGCTATGTGCTCTTTAGTTGCCAAGAGCACTGCAATGATATTTTGGCTAAGTTGAATGCTTTATCCACTATACCACAGTCTGGTTTAAATGAATTCATCACCTACTCAAAAGGCTACTACAATTTCAGTGGTTTTCTAGTCATAGTCAATAATAAGGAAAACCAAACCACTCCAAACCCCTATTATCTCCATGACCAAGCAAGTTTTAAACACACACACACACACACACACAAAACCACAAGTGACTGAAGCAATTTATTCTGTTAAGAATTAGGAGCTGCAAAATGATAAGTTGGGAGAAATCATTTTGTCTATGTTAGCTTCTTAAATGCTATTTTGGGTACCAAAGGCAGTAGAATTCACTTTACAGTAGACTTGAGAGCATTTTTTCCCTTTCATCTTACCTTGTGGCAACAAGAGGGTAGCTATGACATGGTGATGCCCAGGCATCTCGTGTCCATGGCATACAATCATAAAGCAACAAGTCCTTCTCCGTCACAGCCATGAGAGCAGGCCTCCACTGCTGTCTTCCACCATCTAGTTTAGCCTGTTCCATGGTGAGATTCAGAATCAGAGCCAACTATGACATGATAACGATGAGCTTTGTGAGTACTGCTCCCCCACCCTAACAGACTTGCTATACACATTCATCCCCATGAGGTCACTTCCCTAGATGGGTATTCCCCCCTGGGAAGTGTGAAGTGGGGTGTATCTGAAAGGCTAATAATAAGTCACAGGCATTATCTAGTGACATGGCAATTTTATCCCATTCCTTAAAAACTGAGCAAGTTCCGGACAGCCTCCAAAGCTATGCAGAGAAACCCTGTCTTGAATACTTGCCATATAAGCCTGACAACCTGAGTTTGATCTCCGGAGCTCACAGTGGATGGAAAAAACTGACTCCCAAAAGTTTTCCTCTGACCCCTCCATGCCTGCCTGGTGGAATATACAAGCCTACACACACACACACACACACACACACACACACACACACACACACACCAAATATATACACAATAATTACTATAAAAATATTGATCAGATGCAGTTTGTCTTTCTGATACTCTGATTTAAACAGGGGCCCCATTGTAGACAACGGCTCTACTGTTGAACTAGGCTCCTAGTGCTACACTGTTATTTTGGAAAACAAAGATGCAAGAGCTCTTCATTTTATTTAGGAAGCACATGTTTTGGCTTCAAACACAGATATTTTTTATCTGCGTAAAGCTCAGCTATCTAGAAAGTTTAAAAATCTAGGAAAACAGCCACCTACTACTACTTATTCATATGTCAAGGATCGAGGGTCAAAATGGAAAGGACTATGTTCAAGAAAAGCCCTGTCACCATCAAAACCTTTGCCCTCCAGAGATAAGGTTGCTGAAGAACGCTGTATTTTATTCCTGCCCCATTAAAGTCATCGCTGACTGCCTCCAGGAGAACTCAAGTTGATGAATCACTTCTCTCTCCAATAGCTGTCTTTGTAATCACTTTTTCTTCCTTTTCTTTAAGACTTATGAAGGGGGCTCAAGAGATGGCTCAGTGGTTAAGAGCACTGGCCATTCTTCCAGAGGACCTGAGTTTGATTGTAGCAACTCACAACCCTCTTATAACTCCAGTTCCAGTGGACCCAAGCACACCCTCTTCTGACCTTTGTTGGCACCTGTCTTTCATGTGGTATAAAGATATACATGTAGGCAAAACATCCAAACACATTAAAACAAACAAACAACCCAAAACATTTCTGAAGGTAATTTGGATGTGACAGAACATTTTAAACACACACTTGGAATCTGCAAAAGGCCTAAGCTATTTGGTTCTGTGTTGTAATTTTTTGTTTTTGAGGCAGGGTCTCCCTATGTAGACAAAGCTGGCCTCACATTTATAGAGATCCACATGCCTTAGTCACTCAAGTACCAGGATCAAAGGTGTACACCACCATGCCTGGTGTATACTAAGAACATTTAACTCAGGGTCTCAGATTCTTCTGAGATAGGGTCTCACTCTGTAGTCCTGGGTGGCTTTGAACTCACAGAGATCTGCCTGCCTACCTCTGCCTTCTTTGTGCTGGGATTAAAGGTATGTGCTACCATGCACCTCTGGATCTCTTTTCTCCTAGCCAAAGGTAAAGGCTGATTCTAGGAGTGGAAAATGAAGTCTAGCCTATGAAAGGACTGATGTTCCCTAGTGCTCTAAGATTCATCTCTGGTGGAAGAGTATCAGTTACCAGGCATAGTGGTGCATGTCTATAAGCCCAGCCAGCACTTGAGAGGTGAAGGCAGGAGGGTTAAATCAGCTGTTAAAGGTCATTCCTGGCTACATGAGAGTTCAAGGAAACCCTGCCTTAACAGTAAGTAATTTTCAATGGGGGGAGGGAAAAGGGGATGTAGGGAAAAGGGACTAGTCAAAGAAACACACCCTGAGCAGAGCCAAAGAAACACACTTTGGCCCTGCAACTAGGACTAAAGTAATGTACCCTGACCCTGAAACCAGTGCCAAAAGAACACACTTTGTCCCTGGAATCAGAGTCAGTGAAAGAAATGTACCCTGGCCCTAAAATTGGAGCCAAAAGGCTAAAATGGACCAGAGAAAGAAACACACTTTGGCCCTAAAACCAGAGCCAAATCTGACCCTAATCCTGTGCAGAAAACCAGCCAATCCTCGAGTAGAGCTCTAACTAATCGGAGCTCAGCAATAAAATCTGACCAATCCCCACCCTGGAAGCCCCTATATAAACCCTGTGTCTGTTCAGCTTGTGGCTGTTCACGCTACCTGGCTGGCAGCAGCCACTCTCCTGGATTCTTCCCTCCCAATAAACCCCTTGGATGACCTCTGGGTGAAGATCTTCTTTTGCGGCTGCGGCAGAGCAGAGCGAGCAGGGCTGTAACACTTTTGCCAAGGAAACCTTCCCTTGGCAGAGCAGAGTTGTTACACCCTGCTCCTGCTCTCCAGGAGCAGAGCTGAACTGTAGCAATTTCCACTGAGGAACCTCCTGCTGAGCAAAACTGCTACAATGGGCAAACATCCCCAACTGGAAGACCCTGTCCTGCCTGAGCGCAACTGATACACTGGGGAAGCCTTTCCCTGAGGCAAGGCTGTAAGCTGCTAAGCTTACTACAACCTGTGGTAGTCCTTGGCTCCTGAGTTTCAGGATACCTTTCCACCTGAGCTGTGTAACACTCAGTATTCTGTGGTTCCTGAGTTCCAGGATACCTTTCTACCTGAGCTGTGTAACACCCAGGATTCTGTGACTCCCGAGTGCCAGAATACCTGTGCGGTCGATCCACTTGAAATGCCAACAGGGGGGAGGGCAACAGCATTTTGTTAATTTATGATTTGTTAAAAGTGTTGATTCTTCAGGCCAGAGAGGGGGCAGTGGTTAAGAGCACTTACTGCACTTGCAGAGGACTTGCTTCAGTTCCTAGCACCCACAACTTCCTAAGCAGTCAAAGGCCTTAAACTTCCTAATCTTCCTGCTTATACCTCAAGAGTACAGGTTTACAGGTGTGCCAGCTTATACAGTACTGGGGATAGAACCCAGGGTTTTATTCGTGCTAAGCAAATAATCTGCCAACTGAGTTATATTCACAGTTCTGAATTTTTTGAGACAGGACCTAACATAGCACAAGCTGTTAAACAGAGAAACCCTGTCTCAAAACAAACAAACAAGGGGCTAGATAAATGGCTCAGTGGTTCAGAGTATTGGTTTCTCTTCCAGAGGACCTGAGTTCAATTCCTAGCAACCACATGGTGGATCCCAACCATCTGTAAAGAGATCTGGTGCTCTCTTCTGGCCTGCAGGCATAATGCAGACAGAACACTTTATATAATAAATAAACAAATCTTTAACAAACAAAACAAAAAAACCAACCAACAAAAAAACAACCCTGACTCCACAAAAGTTGTCCTTTATCCTCTGACCTTGGAATGTTCTCTGTGGTATGTGCAGGCCCACACTCACACAAACACAGATACATACACACTTTTTTAGGAGGAAAAGGAGACTATATATTTATATTTTCTTTCATTTGCATAAAGAAAATATCTAAAGATTTGCTAGGGAAAAAGACATAAATTAGGGTGATAAGGACAGTAAGTAAGAGAGTAAGAATTTTCTTTGCCTGTTTTTTTTTCTTCCCTTCTTTAGTTTTTTTTTTTTTTTTTTTTTTTTTTTGAGACAGGGTTTCTCTGTGTAGTCCTTGCTGTCCTGGAACTCACTCTGTTCCAGTGAGGGATGCAATTTTCCCTATTGTGCTGACCCTGAGATCTAAAAGAACTTGTGCTCTTCAGCTCTAACGTTCCCCACATTCAGCATACACTTAGGCTTTTGTGGTTCTTTCCTTTTCATATCTTAGTTGTGGACTAAACTGAATCTTGTTTAATGGCTTGTAAAATATTTTATGTTTTCTTCCTGTGGTATTGGGGATTAAGCCTATGTCCTTGTATGTATCAGATAAGTGTTCTACCATGAAGTTAAATCTACAACTCTATATTTTGTATATTTTAAGTTCTTCTAGTTCAGGGACATAAACTAGAGACTGTTGGCCTTGGGAACACTACTAATAGTCTACAAAAAATGGCAAACCTATAACCTCTGGGTCAAATCCACCTTTCAACCTGTTTTTCTAAAAGTTTACTAAAACATAGTTATGTCCATTTATTCTCATGACATCTGAGACTTTTAGCTTGCTATTATAGCAGAGTCAAAGCATGCTGCTATGTGTTATTAATACACAAAGTTCACTGACCAGACACCCTTTTAAATATATTTGTGTGTGTATGTGTGGTACATGGAGGCTTGGAAAGGGTGTTGGATTCCTTTGGAACAGGAGTTAAAGGCATGTGTACAACATAGCTTGTTGTGTAGGTGTTGGTTTCTAAACTCTGGTTTTCCTGATTGCATAGAAACACTCTTTTTTTTTTTTTTTTTGGAGACAGGGTTTCTCTGTATTGTTTTGGAGGCTGTCCTGGAACTAGCTCTGTAGACCAGGCTGGCCTCGAACTCACAGAGATCCACCTGCCTCTTCCTCCCGGGTGCTGGAAATAAAGGTGTACGCCACCAATGCCCATCTCTCCAGTATCTTGACCCTAGTTCTAAATCACAAAAAGCACCTCATTCTGTTTAGAGAGATGGTAACAGGAACCTCCTCTTAGTTATATTGTAATGATGATACCACGAAGATCAATTCTGCTGCTGGAGGTGATGATTAGAAGGTAGAAAGGCAGTTAGGGAGGAAAAACAAAAGACCAACAGAAGGGTTGCAATGTGGATATCTAGGAACGGAGTGACAAATGTAGCTGCAGACAGGCAGGCATGGTGGAGCATTGGTGAAGAGGAGGCAGGCCAACCTAGACCTAGTCTACATGGTGAGACTCTCTCTCTCTCTCTCTCTCTCTCTCTCTCTCTCTCTCTCTCTCTCTCTCACACACACACACACACACACACACGCACACACACAGAGGATGGAGAGAGAGAGTGACAGAGAGAGATCATGCAGGTAGATATAGATATAATACTCTAGATATATGCTATAAGGGAAGTATTCTAACTAGGAGTAGGGATGAGTAAAACCCTTGCTCTGCCTCCCACCTACCTGTTCTGCCAGCCAGGCAATATGCTTGACTTCCTTGCTGCCTCCTGCTGTACTGGTTGCACCAAGCATGGCATTGAGTTCAGCCAATACCTGTGGGAGGAGAGCCATTATGTTGGCATGGATAGCTACGAACCAGGAGTGTGCTGTGGCCGTATCTTTGCAGCGTAGGATCAAGGTGTTCCTGCTATCAGGAGAATGTAGCTCTATCAATCTGTATGGAGAGAGAAAAGAGAAAAATGAGATAGGTTCCAAGTCATCACACCACCAGAGTTAACATATGAACTGAAAATCTAGTCTAATATTGTAATTTTCAAGTAAAGATACTTTAATTCCTCAGAGTCCAATCCCAGAGAAAACCATAAACACATGGGACAATAATTGGGACTAATGGCTGGATTTGCTGTTGTATTGTGCCTATGGGATGGTCAGTAGTAGGACACTTCACTTTGCCTTAATTTCCATGTGAAAGAAACAGAACCAGTGTCTGTTGGACATTGCAGGCAGGAACATCAACACACATACATGAGCACATGTACATGTGTATTTTGTACATAAAAGACAGGGTCATATATATATACCATGTACTGTAGGCAGGTATCACACTTGCTATGCAGCTGAGGATAACCCTGAACTCCCATTCCTCCAGCCTTCATCTCTCAAGTGCTGGGATTACAGGAATTTTACCATGAAAAGCTAACAGAATTTTATATTTTAAAAATTGTTAAACCAAAAACAAACAAATAAAACACAAAACAAACAAAACCAGCGAGGCAGTGGTGACACACACCAACTTTAATCCTAGCTCTCAGGAGGCAGAGGCAGGTGAATTCTGTGAGTTTGAGGTCAGTTTGGTATAAAGAGTGAGGTTCAGGACAGCCAGGGCTGTTACACAGAGAAATCCTGTCTCAAAAAACCAACAAAACAAAAACAAACAAAAAAATGTAAAAAATTTTTTAAATAATTAGGAGCTGGAGAGATGGCTCAGTGGTTAAAGGGCACTGGCTGCTTGCTCTTCCAGTGGACCCAGGTTTGAATCTCAGCAACCAAATCTGGTGGTTCAAATAATAACAACATAAACTGGGCGGTGGTGGCGCCCGTCTTTAATCCCAGCACTCAGGAGGCAGAGGCAGGAGGATCTCTGTGAGTTCGAGACCAGCCTGGTCTACAAGAGTTTCAGGACAGCCTCCAAAGCCACAGAGAAACCCTGTCTCAAAAAAATTTTTAAATAAAATAAAATAAATAAACTGCCTATAACTTCAGCTCAGGAGAGCCAATGTCTCTGGCCTCTGTGGTCACCTATGCTTATGTGAACAGACACACACAAAAACACATAATTTTTTGAAACTAGGTAATCTCTGGTATAAGCCACAAAAAACCTAACAATGAACTGAAATGATATTATTTGAAATACAAGGATATTAGCAGGATATTACTTTTCTTTGTTATTATTATTATTCATGAAAATTTAGAATTTTGCTTATTTACTTATTTGAGACCAAGCCTCACTATGTAGTCCTGGCTGGTCTGGAACTCCCTATATAGACTCAGCGGGGCCCAAACTCACAGAGATCCACTTGCTCTTGCCCCCCAAATGCTAGGATTGAAGACATGTGCTCCTGCTGCTGCTACTATTACTTCAATACTTGGCCAAAGCTAACTTTAGATCAGCAGTTCCAAGGCTGGCCTCCAGGGTTACTAACTTTAGATCAGCAGTTCCAAGGCTGGCCTCAGGGTTACTAACTTTAGATCAGCAGTTCCAAGGCTGGCCTCAGGGTTACTAACTTTAGATCAGCAGTTCCAAGGCTGGCCTCCAGGGTTACTAACTTTAGATCAGCAGTTCCAAGGCTGGCCTCAGGGTTACTAACTTTAGATCAGCAGTTCCAAGGCTGGCCTCAGGGTTACTAACTTTAGATCAGCAGTTCCAAGGCTGGCCTCCAGGGTTACTAACTTTAGATCAGCAGTTCCAAGGCTGGCCTCCAGGGTTACTAACTTTAGATCAGCAGTTCCAAGGCTGGCCTCCAGGGTTACTAACTTTAGATCAGCAGTTCCAAGGCTGGCCTCCAGGGTTACTAACAGTCATGCACCCTTCCCTTCTAGTTCTACAGTGAGATCAGGTCAAACTCAGGTCATTAGGGTTGTGCTACAAGTACTTTTACAAGCTCGGTCATCTTCCTAGTCTAGTTTTATTGATCTTTGTTTTCACTTGTTCATCTTGCATTAAAATTTTTCGAGGGGGGTTGTTGCTCAATCTGTATGTGGGGGTGTGCATGTGTATTCAGATGCGTGTGCCAGTGTTGAGTGTAGAGGTCAGAGGATAACTTGTGGGAATCATTTTTCTCTTTCTACCATGTGAGTCCCAGGGATCAAATGGAGGTTGTCAGGCTTGGTGACAGGCAGCTCTACCTGCTTAGCCATTTTGCTGGCCCTACTTTCTATTATTTTGAGAGAAGGTCTCACTATGCTGCCTGACTAGCCTCAAATTCATGACAATCCTAAGTGCTAGGATGACAGGTCTGGACGGACCGCAATGCCACCTCCAAACACCTTGTTTTTATATGGCAAGTGTTTATTCTCAAATTCTGCTTAGTCTATAGTTTCTTTTAAGATTTATTTTGTTATTTGTATTTATGGTGTGTGTGGATACACACAGATGCCAGAAGAAATTATCAGATGCCTTAGAACTGGAGTCACAGGTGTGTGCTGGGAACTGAACTTGCTTGGGTCCTCTGGGGGAATAGCAATCACTAACACTGAGCCACCTCTCTGGCCCCCAATCTATTCTTCCTTAGATACATATCAATTGAGCCCCTACTAAATGACAGATATTGTGTTAGTATTGCAGAAACACAGACCAAAAGAAAAAAAAATCCAGTCTCTACCCTAATTGAGCCTACAGTGTAACAGGGAAGGCACAAAATGAACAGTTGATAAAACACAGTTAATTATAGTTCCCAAAAAATGTCATAAAGGACAGTTGGTCCACACAATGGTGTACTACTCAGTGGTGAGAAACAATGACATTCTAAAATTTGAAGGCAAATGGACAAAACTAGAAAAAAATCATCCAGGTCGGGTGTTGGTGGTGCACGCCTTTAATCCCACCCAGCACTTGGGAGGCAGAAACAGGCGGAACTCTGAGTTTGAGGCCAGCTGGTCTACAGAGTGAGTTCCAGGACAACCTCCAAAGCCACAGAGAAACCCTATCTTGGAAAAAAAAGAAAAGAAAAAGAAAAGGGAGGAAAAAGAAAAAGAAGAAGCCATCCTGAGTGAGGTGACCCAAAACCAGAAAGACAAATATAGTATGTACTCACTCATACATGGATACCAGACATAAAGCAAAAGATACCCAGTTTACAATCCATAACCCCAGAGAAGCTTGAACCCTCTTCCAGAAACAGATGGAAGCAGATGCAGAAATCCACAACTACAATTAACCAATAGGCCAAGCTCCTGGAATACAATCGAAGTGAGGAAGGAGCAAAATTATGAACAAAGGAGTCAAGACCATGATGGGGAAACACACAAAATCAGCTGATCCAAGCTAGTGAGAAATCTCTGACTCAGGTCTGAAAAATGGGGAACCTGCATAAGACCAAACTAGACTCCTTAATATAGATGACAATGGTATGTCTAGGACAATGTGAGGCCACTGGCAGTGGGTCCAAGACCTAACACTAGTGCACAAACTGACTTAGTGGAGCCCATTCTATATGCAGAGATACCTTGCCCAGCCTAGACTCCAGGGTGTGGAGGTAGAGAGGTGCCTTGGTCCTGCCTCAACTAGATGATGGGGCAGACTTAGTAGACTTCCTAGGGGAGGTCTTATCCTCTCCAAGGAGCAGATGGGAGGAGCAGGGAGTGGAGGGAGTGAGAGGAAAGGAGGGAGGGGGAACTGGGATTGGAATGTTTAAAAAAAAATGTGGAAATGCTGGTGGGACCCAGCAGAGAAACTATAAAGAATTTACCAAAAAGAAAAAAAAAAAAAAGGACAGTTGGTTCTGGCTATTATGAAGACCATGCCTTAAAAGACATTGCTGATCAGGATGTGGTAGCAAATTCCTTTAACATTGATCCCAGCAATCAAGAGGTAGAGGTGGGCAGATCTCTGTGAGTTCCAGGACAGCCAGGGCTACAGAGAAACTTTGTCTTGAAAAATGAAACAAGACAAAAGCAAAAAACCTCTGTGGTAGTAAAGGCAAAGTAAGGCTGCAATGGAAACCTTTACACTTTTGGGCACACTCACAAACTATTTCTATGTGGTGATGTGGTGAGATCATTAATAAACCTGGTTCTTCCCCTAGGAAGACTTTTCAAAGTAGGGCTGCAATGGAAACCTTTACACTTCTGGGCACACTCACAAACTATTTCTATGTGGTGATGTGGTGAGATCATTAATAAACCTGGTTCTTCCCCTAGGAAGACTTTTCAAAGTAGGGCTGCAATGGAAACCTTTACACTTCTGGGCACACTCACAAACTATTTCTATGTGGTGATGTGGTGAGATCATTAATAAACCTGGTTCTTCCCCTAGGAAGACTTTTCTTTTTTTGGTTTTTTTAAAACAGGGCTTCTCTGTGTAACAGCACTGGCTGTCCTGGTACTAGATCTTTAGACCTGACTGGCCTCAAACTCACAGAGATCCATCTGTCTCTGCTTTGTAAATTAAAGGTGTGTGCCACCACTGCCAGGCCTAAAAACACTTTTTAAAAAGTTAATTCTAGAGCTGGCGAGTGGCTTAGCAAGTAAGGATATTTGTTGCCAAATCTAATGGCCTGACTTTGATCTGACTCCTATACATTGTCCTCTGACTTCTACATGTACATTGTGGCATACTTGAACTCACATAATAAATTAATAAACATTTAAAGAATAATTCTTTAATTTGGGAAGTTGGCAAACAGTCATAGGACTTAGGAAAGTGGCTCTGGGTTGGTTTTGTCATATTGACACAAGCTAGGGTCGTCTACTAAGACGGAACTTCAATTGAGAAAATATCTCCAGACTGCCTATAGGTAAGTCTATGGGGGCATTTTCTGATTGATAATTGATGTGGGAGAGTCCAACCCACTGTGGGCACTGCCACATCTCAGGCAGGTGATCCTGGGTACGGTAAGAAAGCAGGCTGAGCAAGCCACAGGGAGAAAGCCAGGAAGCTGCATTCCTCCAGTGTCTGCTTAAGCTCCTCCCTTGAGTTGTCCTGACTCACCTCAGTTGCTTTTGGCCATAGTTTTTCATCACAGCAATAGAAACCCTAACTAAAATGAGTGGGAAGAGCAAAATTTCAGCCACTCTGCTACATAATTCCTTAGTGTGTAGGAAATTGGTGGCAAGGTTATTTCTGAAAGTGAGACTAAAGTATGCACTACAAAGAAGCAGGAGGACAGTGGCCTTGGCTACTTATTGAGTTATATCTCAAAAGATAAAAACAGGAACTGGGAGCATGCCTTGGTTGAAAATTTGACCCTAAAGTTCAATTCCCACCACTGCAAAGGCCAAAACCAAAAAGGCCAAACAAAATGCACCTCGCTGAGCATCATGGCTCCTGTGCTCAGGTAGCTAAGGCAAAATTGCAAGAAATCTGAGGCCAGCTGGGCTATAGTAAGTTCTAGGACAGTCTAAGATACACCATGAAACTGTCTCAAACAAACAGAATTCTTCATACTCAGTGGCCAATGAATGCTATGATCTCATCCTAGCAGAAGAGTCAGCCACTCTCACTCCCACCAAACTGGCTGGGAGAAGCCATGCTTGGTTCAGGCTGCAGTCTTTAGACTGACCATTTTCTAGGACTTACTTATTTCCACCCCACTGCTCTGTCACTGAGGCCAGCATAACATTCTTTAAACACATACTAAAATTTGCTGGCAAGAACCAGACAAGAAATTTCCTTCACTCCTCCTACTGACCTACTTAGCACTAAAGATAGAAGTCAGTTCATCCTTCTTTAGGCACAAAACAATTACTTTTTGGGGAAAAAAAAAACCTTTACACTGTATACAGTCCTGAGACAGTCTCTCAGATAGGTCATGGAGTCATTAGGTACTGAATAGCCTATTAATACAGAATAGCTTCTAAAAATCCTGGTATTAGATCCTAATTATAAACAACTGGAAGAATGGAAATCTGATATAAAATAAAGCTAAGCCTGATTAATCAGGAGTAGACACTAAGACAGAAGGGCTCAAATGATGAAATGGGCAGGAAGTTGTTTTGTAGGTAGGATCAACAACAATCATTTTTTTGGGGGGGGGTTTCCAGATAGGGTTTCTCTGTATTGTTTTGTAGGTAGGATCAACAACAATCATTTTTTTGGGGGGGGGTTTCCAGATAGGGTTTCTCTGTATTGTTTTGGAGGCTGTCCTGGAACTCTCTCTGTAGACCAGGCTGGCCTCAAACTCACAGAGATGCCTCTGCCTCCCAAATGCTGGATTAAAGGCATTTGCCACCACCGCCCAGTAATAAGCTGCAATTTTTTGAGATACTACATAAAACACTCAAGAAGTTTAAATCACATGAAAGCCTTACATGTTCAAGAAAGTTATTCTTGGCTGGTCTAGAATTCATTATATAGATCAGTTTTGTCTTGCATTCAGTGATCTGCCTACTTCTTCCTCCCTAGTGCTGGAATTTAAGACGTGCTACTATGCCTGACAAGACAAGCCTGGCTTCAGTTTCTTGCTGTGTTCCATGTTCTTTTACCCTACTCTCTTTAGGCACATGGGTATATTCAGATCAGAGACCACAAGAATAAAAGCATATTGGGCCTGTCTTTAGGTCTTTGGACGAATTTATTTTTGTTTTTAAGTCACCCCCACTCTGCCAAATCCCTGGCCTAACACTACTTTTTCTTTTTTCTTTTTTTTTTTTTTTTGTTTTATGAGACAGGGTTTCTCTGTATTGTTTTGGAGTAACAGTACTTTTTCACAAAGCCACTGAAATTAAAATCATTATAGAACACAAGAAGGAAAATTATAAATTATTCATTCCATTGCTTGCATTTTATAGAAGGCAGAGGGGTCTGTGAAGCCTACTTGTCAGAGTCACATTGCCAGTTGATGTCTTTGATCTACAGTGTGGTTTCTGAACTATAACATTACTCAAAATTAAGACATTTACTTATAGATGGACAGTGATGGAACATGCTTTTTATCTCAGCACTTGGAAGGCAGAGGCAGGTGGAGCTCTGTGAGTTCGAGGCCAGCCTGGGTAAGTTCCAGGACAGCTGGGGTTTTTATGCAGAGAAACCCTGTCTCAAAAAAAAAAAAAAACACAAAGAAATGTCTTTATAAAAAGACATGGGAGGCTGGGTGAGAAGATGGTGGGTTTGAGGCCATCCAGGGCTCCAAAATTAAAGACAGATCTCTAATTTCAGAATATCATTTTTCTTCTTAACAATTCTCTCAGCAGGAGCCACTGATACTGTGTTATGTCCTTGAGTTTGTAAGGCTGAGAGTGTGATGCTCTCAGCACTCACACTCACCTGTTCTCCAGATCTGGCATGCTTAGGTTTCTAGCAGCAAAGCACATTTTGAGAGGGATGACCTTCCTGTCCTTGGTGCTGTTCTGATGCTTTGGAGAACCAGAGTCTTCACTGCCACTGAAGTTTGGTGATTGGGGAGCAGCACCTTCCCACGGCAGATCTGATACTAAAGACGGCTTCTTGATGTATGGTGTTACTTCTCGGATGAATTTGACTATGAAAAACACAATAAAAAACGAAAAGCAAAGGAGGTTAGTATTGCTGTTTATGATCAAATGAAAACTGAAATATTCACATACATGCAACATCTAGAGCAAAGTGAAAATCAAAACTCAAATGTCCTTGAGCTTTATTCCACATTTTCTGAACTCACACTGAGGGGATTCGCCTTAATGCCTTCACCCACTGAAACACACATAACAATCTTAATCTCTTTTGTACATGAGAATCTTTCAAATGTCAGAAAAACATATATCTTTCTTCCCTATACTAAGGAAAGTATTTCAGCCCAGTTGATAAAAGGGCAAATAAGGCTTAGATCCTACCCTAAAGGAATGCTTTAGGTAGAGAAAGCTATATACATTATTCTGTGTTAATAAAAAATGTGTTTATATACAAGCACAAAACCAACTCAACTGAAACCCCTTGCCTTTTCAAAATAGTCTTTTCCCATTAAATTCTCTTTTGAATAAATATAGGTTGAGTATACCTTATCTGATATGCTTGCCAGCAGAAGCCTTACAAATTTTGAAGTATTCATATATACTTGGAGGTAAAAATATTTGTATATACATGGGAAGATGAACAGGAAATCCACTTTCATATAAACAGTATAAATATGCATAGGCAAAAGCATCTTCATTTGGACTGCAGTATTAGGTCAGGTATGGAATTTTCCACTTCTATCATGGTTGTGCTCGAAAAGCTTCAGGTTTTTTTTTTTTTTTTTGGTTTTTACGAGACAGGGTTTCTCTGTATTGTTTTGGAGGCTGTCAGTCCAGCCCGGCCTCGAACTCACAGAAATCCACCTGCCTCTGCCTCCCGAGTGCTGGGATTAAAGGCGTGTGCCACCACTGCCCGGCTTAGGTTTTTTAATGAGGTATTATTGATACACATCACATAAAACAACCCAGAAATTTTATAATAATGATTGATTTCTATCTGTAAAGGTAACTATTGTATGATCATGTAGAGGTGCTACATATGCTAAGCACAGTGTAAAAACAAACACATTTATTTGTCTGTCTATCCACCAATTTCATGCAATGGTAGTATGTTTACTGTTTGCTACTTGTATTTTTATTTAGTAATGTTGACAACAGTCAATAGGTCATTATCCCCTGTCCCTCTCCATGTCATCCAACAATGGTATTTTATGAATACTGAACTCTTCTACAACACAATGGAAAAGCCTTTGGGAAGGGACTTGCTGGTTCAATTCTCACTGCTTCAAAGCTCTATGGTTACCTGCTGTTTCGAAGGTCCTCACCTAAAAAACTAGAGTGATTATAAACAAGTGCAAGCTCTGGCCACAGTAAGTAGTCAGGAAATAGCAGGTGCTATTCTTTCCTGACTTAGGAAGCTGGAGAAATTTAAAAAATTAACCCTAGTCAGTAGAAGAGATGAAGCCATCGTCTTAAATTATTAAATTAATCCCAGAACTTGGGAGGCAGAGATAGGTGGATCTCTGTGAGTTCACAGCCAGCTGGGTCTATCTAGAGAGTACCAGGCCAGCCAAGGCTATGAAATAAGACCCTGTCTCAAACTAACAAATGAAACAGACAAGCAAAAAACACCACACTAGCATCTACTGAAATCAAGCATAACACTAGGAAACAATTCTAATGTTGCCATTTAGACAACAGTACAGATACTTGCACATGTGTGCATCTTTTTCCTGCATGTTTTTAAAAATGCATTTCTGGGTGGAGAAAGTAAAAGCTTTCTGCCTTGGGTCACCAAGGAGATTTTTCATCCTGGAAGAATGAGCAGGAGTGTAGCCAGTATATCCCTTGAGCAGCTGACTCAGGCATTTCAGCACACACTTGAGCTTTGTGCTTTCAGGAGAGGATTAGATCACGAGAACTTGGCAGAAATTCCTAAGGTTTTCAATCAATGCCAATGGCAGAGACACGCTTTTGAACACTTACAGCACCATGCCAGCTACCAGGCTGCCAAGTGGGGAAAACAAAGCCATTCTAAATGAGTACCCTTGAAAAGTACAATGATTAGAAGAGTCCTTAATGATCTACTCAGAATTAGCATTTCTAATATGATTACTACAAACATGCTAATGCTAAAACAAAAGCAGTCACACACCCAACCTAAGGGCCACTATATTAAAAGAGCAATGACTATGGGCTTAGGACAGCCCACTGGTAGACTGCTTTCCTAACATGCACAAAGCCCTCACAAACCATCCATGGTGGTTTATGCCTGTAATCCCAGCAGGCAAGTAGTGGAAAGAGGAAAACTAAAAGCTCATGGTCATCTTGGCTGGATACTAAGTTCAAGGCTTGCCTTGCTACATGAAACCTTTGCCAAAAAAAAAAAAAAAAAAAGGAAAAGAAGAAAAGAAATAAATTTCACCCCAGATTATGGTGTTGCTACATGTACAGTCAGTTAATTAGTCACCCATAATGTTTAATGCCTGTAAATTGATATTTTTATCTTATGCTAAGACCTTCCAGGCTGTCACAGAACAAACCTGGACAATGACCTGAAAAGAAACACCTTTACAACCAACCCACTGCCTTTCAGTTTACTTTTTTCTCCTCATAGTTGAAGATCACCCTCAAAATAGACCCATAACTGGGGAGACAGAGGCAGGTAGATCTCTGAGTTTGAGGCCAGCCTGGTCTACAGAGCAAGTCTCATGACAGCCAGGGCTACACAGAAAAATCCTGTCTTGGCGAGGGTGGAGGTGGGTTGTCATCCACAAAATAACCACACACCCATGTTTGTCAACTGCTCTAAGCTCTCAAGAGACTAGAGCAATTTTCTGTCTTACCTGCATGAATCACTCTTATTTAAAATGAAAGAGAGGGCCTAGGTAGTAGTAGAGTTCTAGACTAGGACTCCAGGCTTTAGGTTCCATCCAAAACAAAAAGATTCAAAGAAAAAAAACAAAAGTGAAAGAGCTTCTATCCATTCTGAGAAGTAACCCCTTCTCCCTTCCCTTTTTCTGGCATTTTGAGACAGGGTTTCTCTGTGTAGCCCTGGCTTCCCTGGGAAAAGCTCTGTAGGTCAGGCTGGCCTCTAATTCACATAGATCATCTGCCTCTGCCTCCCTAGTGCTGACTAAAGGTGTGCTCCACCACTCCCAGCCCCTTCTCTGTTTTCAAGTAACAAAAACACAGCTGGTATGAGATGGTTCACGTGGTAAAGATGTTTGCTGCCAAGTCTGAGGACCTCAATCCCAGGGACCCACAGAGTGGAAAGAAAGGACTCTAGTAAGTTGTTCCCTGACCCCTGCAAGCACACACACAAAGTAAATAATTGTAATTAACAAACATGTTTTGTACATGTACCTATAAATGTATTGGAGAAAGGATTTTTATCAAAATATTACAGTGCTTATATATATGTTGATTTTAAATTTATAATTCTGTGTATTTTAAATGTAATGACTGTATTATTTACTTTTAAGAAATAAGATGGGGGCTGGAGAGATGGCTCAGAGGTTAAGAGCACTGACTGCTCTTCCAGGGGTCCTGAGTTCAATTCCCAGCAACCATATGGTGGCTCACAACCATCTACAATTCAATCTGGTGCCCTCTTCTGGCCTGTAGGCAGCACAGTGTATATGTAATAAACAAATAAATCTTAAAAAAAAAATAAGGTCATCTGAACTTAAACAGCAAGTTAAAAATGTCTCAAAAGGGAAGGAGAGGAGAAAAGAGGAAGGAAAGGAGAAAAGAATGTTTCTATAGCTTTAAAATTTTTGTTTGTTTTTGTTTTTCAAGGCAGGGTTTCTCTGTGTAACCCTGACTATCCTGGACCTTACTCTGTAGACAGAGGTCTGCCTGTCTCTGCCTCCTGAGTTCTGGGATTAAAGACACATGCCACCACTACCCAGCTAAATTTTTTAACTTATTCATGTGTACCTACTTGCCTGTATGTGCACACTTGTATGCAACATCCACAGAGGCCCGAAAGTGTCAGATTCTCTGGAGTTACATGTGGCTTGTGAGCCAATGAAGTGGACACTGGGAACTAAACTCAGATTCTCTGCAACAGCAGCCTGTGGTAGAACATTATTTTAAGTATGTGAGTTTTGTTTATGCTGCATTTGTTTAACTCTGTGAAGCTGTGATTCTTTGCCTCTCTAAAACACCTGATGGGCCAGGTGGTGGTGGCACATGTCTTTGATACCTGCAGTCAGGAGGCACAGCAGTCAGATCTTTGTGAGTTTGAGGCCAACTTGGTCTACAAAGTGAGTCCCAGGACAGGACAGCCAGGGCTACACAGAGAAACTCTGTCTCAAAAAAACAAAGGGGAAAAAAAAGATAGAGGGAGCCCATTTTAAAGGGAAGTGATTATTTAGAGACAATAAAAAAGAACAAGCCAGGCATTGGTGGCGTAAGCCTTTAATCCCAGCACTCAGGAGGCAGAAGCGGGCAGATCTCTGTGAGTTCGAGGCCAGCCTGGTCTACAGAGCGAGTTCCAGGACAGCCTCCAAAACAGTACAGAGAAACCCTGTCTTAAAAAACCAGAAACAACAACAACAACAACAAAAAAGACATTAATTACGGGGTCAAATAAATACTCAAAACTCCTGATAAACATGGATAGCTTGTTTCCCCAAAGCCAGATTTTGTTATTTTATACTCTGAGTAGTATCTCCAGGTCTCATAAGGTGATATGTGATGGCTACTCGTGATTGACAACTTGACATGCCTCTGAGGGGCTGTGAGGGTATTATCCTAGAAGGATTGGCTAAGAGAGCTTTCCTGGACTACCAAGCGAGTTCCAGGACAGCCTCCAAAGCCACAGAGAAACCCTGTCTCGAAAAAAAAAAAAAAAAAAAAAAGAGATCTTTCCTATGCCCTATAGATATGAGGTATGAGGAGAAAGCTGTTTGCCTTTTACCTGCTGCCCTTTGATCCTTGCTAGTGCATGCATCTGCCTTGTTGCTGCCTCTGTTGTCAGCTTTTCCTGACAATGGAACCCAGCCTTCCACGTAGACTGAAGACTGGTGATTCTCCAGGAATC